CGCCGCATTGTCCTCAACTAACCTCATTCGTTTTTGGCGAAACATTTGAAGAGATGAGATTCAGGGACTGTGAGAAGCACGAATAATATCTGTAGATAGTAAATTGTCGAACTCACGTTTAGCGAAGGCTAATTTGTTCGGTGCTAGTCGGCGAAAATTTTCCGTGACTGGGGGTCGGGTAGTTACGGCTTTAGGTGTGGTTCTGGCATGACTGAATGGTCTAAAAGACGCGTTGTGAGCTGTACAGAGGAAATTGGTCTGGTCTAATCGAATAAATTTTGGGTTCGTCAGTCCGTTGTTCCAACCGAATATTGGCTGTTCGGTCGTTACAATTATACCTTCCTTCAACATTTGGACCTGTTGATTTACCTGAGTCACTATGTGCATAGGGAAACGACGTGCTTCCAATATGCTTACTCGATTTATCTTTATTAGGATTTCGTGCTTTACTTTGTTATAAAATACTTACGGCTCTCTATCTCCAGTGAACAATGTCAAGCACGAAATCACCATAAAAAACAGTTCTAACGGTGTGGCTTTATTGTAGCGGCTGCTGTCAACCTTGAGGACCTAATTTCCTAAAAGAGGTAAAAGCAACGGTTGAAGTAAAAAGTGGTAAGGTGGCTACGAAGCACGGTTCATTCATTATACACTAAAGTAACAAAGTAACTGACGTAAGAGTAGCAACAGACATTTCAACGGATAAACCAAACATTAACGAGTTGAGCACAAAGTTTGCGACAAAAATCTATACTTTCCATTAGGTTTCTTTGTAAAGAGTACCGGTGAGCTATACGCGTTGTCCGCTTCCTCAATTATTGTAACGGAAAGAGAACTGTGAAAATCCCTCTGCAGCTTCTTTGTTGAACAGTATTTTCATTTATTTGTTCCTTCTCCCTTTTGTGTATTCCAACCTTTATTTCGATCTCGTTTAACCATGTCTTTTGTTCTTCAGTCTTCCCCGTTTGAGCCTTTATTATGTAATTTTGATTAAAGACTTATTTTTGTTACCTAATTTTCTATTGCATGTTGCCGGACCATTGACAGTAAGGTTGTGTTTGACTAAGCTCGCGGTCACGGCGTGGTTCAGTTTGTGACTGTTAACCTTCTGACTGTCTGCTTGGGAGAATTGCTGCAATCCCTGCAGATAGATATTTGATCCCATCTTATTGGGAATATTTGTATTGATTCTCAGGTATCAAAGCCTTTAGTATTAACTGTCTCTTTCATTGTTTAGCGCGCTACTTTGCGTTAGAGAAACTTCTGACTGTATAGCACAGGCTGTACCGTTTGAGGTATTTTGTATTTTTGATTTCATTTCTTCTGTTTTCTTAATTAGAACCGTTTATATTGAGCACAGAGATTGTGTTTTGATATAATATAATACGAGTATCTCAAAGACGCGTTGTGAGCTGTACAGAGGAAATTGGTCTGGTCTAATCGAATAAATTTTGGGTCCGTCAGTCCGTTGTTCCAACCGAATATTGGCTGTTCGGTCGTTACAATTATACCTTCCTTCAACATTTGGACCTGTTGATTTACCTGAGTCACTATGTGCATAGGGAAACGACGTGCTTCCAATATGCTTACTCGATTTATCTTTATTAGGATTTCGTGCTTTACTTTGTTATAAAGTACTTACGGCTCTCTATCTCCAGTGAACAATGTCAAGCACGAAATCACCATAAAAATATTTGAATAAGTTTGTTTGCAACAAGTTGCGTCCTTTGCACTTAAGTGCTTAGGTTTGTGGACAGGTCCAGATGTTATATAAAGGCATAATTGAGAAAGCGTAGAGCTCTTACAACTCACCGGCTCTCTTTGTTAAGTAACCGATTGGAAAGTATAGATTTTGTGTTGAGTTTTGGGAACCGAATAATGTAACGGATTTGAAGCCTTTTGTAATGCCAACATTAACGGAAACAATATATCGGCTACAGAATGCCGTGGTGTTTACAGTGCTGGATTTGCGGTCAGTTTATTGGCAACTGCCTATAGGAGAGCGGCCAAAACAACAGTATCAATTCAGATGAATGCAGTTTGGGTTGGCGGGTACAACGTGTGGTTCCAGAAGACTAATTACGCGGTTGGTCAGGGATCTAGATAAAGTAGAGATGTATGATGAATATGTAGTATGTACAACTATACAGAAACAGATCGCGTGAAGCATGTGGAAGCAGTCTTAGGGGAAATTAAAGAATTTTGACTTCGAATTATTAGAGACAATTCCAGATAGTGAGAAATACCGTCACGTTATCGGGGCATCAAGTGGAAAATGAAAAAATAAAACGACTGAAGGAGAAAATTTCAACCATAAAGACCATTGCAATACCTAATTCGAGAAAGTTGAGGCAATCCCAGGGAAGGGAGGCGTTCTACAGTCAGTTCGTCAAGAACTTCAACGAAATAGCAGCACTTCCATCTAAGTTGTTGAGCAACATTAAGTTTATGTGGACTGATATTTCTCAAAAAACCTTCAACCAAATCGAAAACATGCTAGAGGACCGCTAAAGGACGCTCAAACTGCCTAGACCCGGGAATCCATTTACAGATACAAGTGATCATGGTACAGGTGCCGTCTTGAGTCAGTCTGTCAAAGTGGTAGAATGGTGGAGTCGCGTTCTCACATCCGCTGAACAGAAGCGTTCAACGATTGAAAAGGAGCGTTTAACAACTGTGTAGGCACTAGAAAAATGGAGACCGTAGCTTTTATTTAAACGTTTCCATATCGAGACTGACCACATACCCCTGCAGTAGCTGAAAACAGCAAGAGACACCATGGGAAGTTTGCGCGATGGATGATACATCTGCAGGAGTACGATTTCAGTATCGGTCATGATCTAGGAAAGGAAAACGTAATAGTGGACTACTTTCCAAGACCAGGCACGGAAGCCGAGCTTCCACCGGTAGAATATGCAGTGAATAGTATAGAGGGAGACCCACTAGAAATTGTCCGGCAGCAGGAAGCTGACCCTAAACTTCGAGAGGTAATTGGAATGAACGCATAAGGAGCCCTGATCTGGCAGGACGATGACGAAAATTGGGTGGCTGTGATCCTGAAGGACTGGCAGCGTAAGATGATACATGAATGTCACCAGACAGCGCACACAGATATCTGAAGAACGACTGACTTACTATGACAAAGTGCATACTGGCCAGGCATGAGAGTCGATGTGGTCCAATACGTGTTAACTTGACAGCAGTGTCAACTAATAAAAATAAATCGATACACACAACCGCCATTACAGTCAGTACCGGTAACCCTAGTCGGTTATCTTTGGTCGGTGGATGTGATGTGATCGCTTCCACAGACGGCGAGCGGTAACCAGTACCTGCTAGTGATGACGGAACATGCTACACGTTGGGTAGACGCTGTAATCATTGCAGACCATCGGGTAAAAACAGTGACCGAAGTAGTAATCCGGCATACTGTAGCGTGTCACGGAATACAGATGATATTAGCTGACTAGGGTCCCTGTTTTGAAAGTGACAAGTTTAGAGCCTGTCTAAAGCAGTTTGGCATCAAGAGGATACAAAGTACACCGTATCACCCCCAGACGAACGGGCTTACAGAAAGGAACAACCGGACGTTAAAGGAACGGCTGACGTCTAAAGAAGGAAATTGTGAGGAAGAGTTACAATTGATTTTGCTGGCACATCGTGCCTTCATATAAGAAACAAACAAGATGTCACCTTTCCTGCTCATATATATACTAGACAACCATGAGTTCCAATGTATAAAACGACCTTACCAAAACAACAGAAGTGGATGGCAACGAATTTCTCCGAAATTCTCACGGGAATAAGACGCTTTGCACCAATGTAACTTAAGTGCACATAGTTTGATGGTTCTCGGGACCAAAAGACTCACTGGGGATCTTCCTCGATTGAATTCTTTTCCTGGTCTCCATTATTGATCTTTAAGACAAAATAAGCTTAGCAACACTTATCTACACAGATGACGAGAAGAAACAGAAACCCATAAGAACTGCAGGGGACTTATTGAAAACCGAGGAAATATTAAAAAGAATAGGGGATTGTGCGGTGAACTGTGAATTAAAATTAAACCACTTAAAATATATAATTAATGACATTTGGACCCGACGAATACAAAATGTATACCGTGTGAGAAAATCCGCTCGTAGTTGTTCTCATAGAGCGCAATTCTACTAGAGGGATGCAGATAAAGGTTACGGTACACCGTTTGTTTCCAGACACGATATTTTTTAATTCTTAGCTATTTTTGACAATTTTCAGAACATACACTTGCTTGTATCCAGAAACGCCCAACATTGTTGCACCTCCGCTTCATACAAAGAATAAAAACCTATTGCAACATGTACAAGGGCACGTCACAATGTTAAACATAAGATTTATAGTCAATTTTGACAAAGGTCAACACTGCTACTCAGTTTTCTCCTTGCTAAACTGAAGGAATACGCGAACTAACATGATGATTGGGTTATGCAAACTTGCCTTCCGAATAAAAGAAACATACACAAGTCTCATCAAGGTAGATCAGGAGGTAATCCATGATGGATAACATATCTGGCGGCCAAAACACGGATAATATTGCGATTTTTTAACCAGGGTTTAGTTATATCCGGAATCATCTCACAGCTGACATGACCACAACCATTAGGTAGATTGCTTTAAAGGAGACACTTATTTATACACAAAAAGAATTAACCTTCAACTTAGCACATCCATCAGGTAAAGCGCAAAAAGCTACCTTGACTGTTCACATTGGATAGTCCCGAAGACCTGAAATCGTATTGTAAAATCAAGAATTCAGAGTCAAGAAAACAATTTGTTTTCACAAATTAGTTAGAAAAGATATTAGGATTGTTGACTTAATATATTCGACTTAATTCCTGTGGGCACAAGTTTTACAAGTTGACGAGGTTTTGAAACCAACAGTAACACGAGTGAGTCTGAAATACGGTATTCGTTTAACTATGTAGTAACCATATCAACATGATCATAAGCGCGGTTATCTCAGTCATATGAAAGATGTTGCTTCCTAATGAGCGAATGACTATTAAAGAAAGGAAACATGACTATCTTTACGGTAACTAATGAAGCATTTATTTGGTATTCTTTCGTAGATCCCTTATACAGTCTTTCAAGTGCAGCTGACCATGAACGGGTTGCAACTAAAGATCATTTAGATGTGTCGAAAATGCAAAAATTGTTCTCCTTTCAGAATTTGTTCAGTGAAGTACCCATATATCGTCCTTATATATGGCGTCTAAATCCAAGTGATCCCGTACCTATGTTCATGTCTAGGTATTTTCACCCTGTAGATGTTTGTAAAAAGTTAATCCAAATGTAAGAATTTGAATCCTTTAATTCTCAAAGGAGTCAGCTTAAAAAAAACAAAGATCTAATGATTGGTCATGTGTTTGAGGGTATGGATCGGTCGAAATATTTCACCCATCATACCTTATCTCTTTGTCCATATGTGAGTTAAGTACGATTACGTTTATCGATTGCTTATATAATTGTCAATACACATACATGATGCGATTTTTTTATCTAATGTCGTTTAATAGATGAGCTGTAATTTCACAAACTGCATTAAAACAAGAACAAGTTAGATGAGCAGTCATACGTGTTACCTTATGATTCGATCGAAAATTTAGATGGCTATACATGTAGTACACCAAACAACGCCATACTACGTCATGGAAATAGCAATAAACAAATGAGTAAGACAGCTCTTTGAAAAAGCTGAGTACCCTCAAAATTACTTACGCCTGTTACTCCTCGTGAAGGAGCATAGGCCGCTCACCAGCATTCTCCATCCAACCCTGTCCTGGGCAATCCTTTTTAGCTCCGTCCAGTTGTTATTCATCCTTTTCATATCTGCTTCTATTATCTGACGCAATGTGTTCTCTGGCCTTCCTCTTTTTCGCTTCCCTTCAGGATTCCAAGTTAGGGCTTGCCTCGTGATGCAGTTTGACGATTTGCGTAATGTATGTCCTATCCATTTCCATCGTCTTTTCCTAATTTCTTCTTCAGCTGGAAGTTGGTTTGTTCTCTCCCACACGAGGCTATTGCTGATGGTATCCGGCCAATGGATGTTGAGTATCTTACGTAGACAGCTATTTATAAATACTTGTACTTTCTTGATTGTGGTTGTTCTAGTTCTCCAAGTTTCAGCTCCATACAGTAGAACTGCCTTGACATTCGTATTGAAGATTCTCACTTTGATATTGGTTGAAAGTTGTCTTGAGTTCCATATGTTCTTCAATTGTAGGAATGCGACCCTTGCTTTGCCGATCCTCGCCTTTACGTCTGCATCTGAACCTCCTTGTTCATCGATGATGCTTCCTAGGTATGTGAAGGACTCTACGTCTTCCAGAGTTTCACCATCAAGAGTGATTGGATTGCTGTTTTCCGTTTGAATTTGAGGACCTTGGTTTTCCGTTTGTGTATGCTGAGACCTACTGATGCAGAGACTGCTGCCACACTGGCTGTCTTTGTCTGCATCTGTTCGTGTGTATGAGATAGGAGAGCTAGGTCATCTGCGAAGTCCAAATCGTCTAATTGGTTCTGAGCTGTCCATTGTATTCCGTGTTTCCTTCAGATGTCGAGGTCCTCATAATCCAGTCGACCACCAGAAGAAAGAGGAAGGGAGAGAGTAAACAGCCTTGTCTGACTCCGGTCCTTACTTGGAATGCATCTGTCAGCTGTCCTCCGTGCACTACTTCGCACTGTAGTCCGTCGTATGAGTTCCGGATAATATTGACAATCTTCTCAGGAACTCCGTAGTGTCGAAGAAGTTTCCATAATATCCTCCTATCTACACTGTCAAATACCTTTTCATAATGAAGTTGATGTATAGTGATGAGTTCCACTCAACTGATTGTTCGACGATGATCCATAGTGTTGCAATTTTGTCTGTGCACGACCGATCCTTACGGAATCCAGCTTGTTGATCTCGAAGTTGGGCGTCTACTGCATCCTTCATCCGGTTCAGCAACACTCTGTTGAAGACTTTCCCTGGTATTGACAGTAGTGTAATGCCTCTGTAGTTTTCACATTTGCTCAAATCTCCTTTCTTTGGAATCTTGACGAGGTGTCCTTCTTTCCAGTCCATCGGCACTTGTTCCTCCTCCCAAATCTTTTTGAATAGAAGGTAAAGCATGCTTGTGGTTGCTTCGATGTCTGATTTCAGTGCTTCAGCTGGTATGTTGTCGGGTCCTGCTGCTTTCCCGTTCTTGATTTGTCTGACGGCCATTCTAATTTCTTCCTTCGTTGGTGGGTTGACATCTATAGGAAGATCTATGTGCGCTGCTTCGATGTCCGGTGGATTCATTGGAGCCGGCCTATTCAGGAGTTCCTCGAAGTATTCTTCCCATCTGTTACGCTGTTGTTGAATTTCAGTGATTGGCTTGCCTTCTTTGTCTTTGACCGGCCTCTCTGGTTTACTGTATTTCCCTGATAGTTTCTTCGTTGTATAGTAAAGCTGTTTCATATTTCCTTCCCTAGCGGCTTTTTCTGCCGTCGTTGCTCCTCTTCACTTTTTTGTTTGCTTCTATGTATCCAGCTTGTGCTTGGACTTTCTCTGCTCGTGTTCGGCTGTTGTTTATTGCTGCCTTCTTGTTCTTCCTTTCTTTGATCTTGTCCAGTGTTTCTGTAGAGATCCATTCTTTATGATGGTGTTTCTTTAGGCCAAGAACCTCTTGACACGTTGAAGTCAATGTTTCTTTGATGCCTTTCCAGTTTTCCTCCATAGTAGTTTCTTCTTCCTTCAGTAGATCGTGTAAGGCTTGGAACTTGTTGTTGAGAGTTATCTTGAATTCGTTGAGTCTTTTAGTATCTCGAAGGAAGGCTGTATTGAACCTTTGTAGTGCTGTTTGTCCACTTGTCCAGTTCTTTTTTAGCTTCAGTTTTAAATTGGCTACAACTAGGTGGTGATCTGAAGCTACGTCAGCACCTCTCCTGGTTCTCACATCTTCCATTGTCCTTCGGAATTTTTTGTTGATGCAAATATGATCTATTTGGTTCTCTGTGGTGTGCTCCGGTGAGATCCATGTAGCCTTGTGTATACGCTTGTGTGGAAATATTGTGCCTCCTATGACCAATTTGTTAAATGCACATAGATTTACAAATCTTTCTCCATTTTCGTTTCTTTCTCCCAGTCCATGTCGTCCCATAATATTTTCATATCCAGTGTTGTCTATTCCGACCTTGGCATTTAGATCTCCCATCAGAATAGTTAGGTCCTTCCTTTGGCATTTCTCAATGATTGACTGTAGCCGCTCGTAGAACTGATCTTTAATGTCGTCGTTGCTATAATTAGTGGGTGCATAACATTGGATAATATTCATTAAGATCCCCTCCTTTGTATTGAATGATGCTTTGATGATTCTGGATCCGTGAGATTCCCATTCTACAAGTGCATTTCATGCTACTTTGGACAGCGTAAGAGCGACTCTCTGAGTGTGTGGAGCATTGTCCTCTTCGTGACTGGACTATAGCAGCATCTCTCCCGTAGCTAGCCTTTTCTGTCCAACTTGGGTCCAGTGGGTTTCGCTGATTCCCAGTACTGCTAAGTTGTATCTCCTCATTTCCATTGCTATTTGACTTGTCTTCCCGGTTTCCCACATTGTTCGAACGTTCCATGTACCTATAAAAACTTTTGCACTGGTTGTTAGAAGGGGCATCGGCCTCGTGGCTTCCGAAGGAACTCGGCTTTCACTATGAAGCGTCATAATTCTTCTAAATGAAGATCTTCTAACTCCTAGGGCAGAGTTAAAATGATTTGGATTATTTTTTCTGGTAAGCGTTTTTTAGCGAGTTAGTTTTCTACGGGATGGGGACGCTAACCCCATGCCTAACCCTCCTCCTTTACCCGGGCTTGGGACCGGCAGTAACCGTATAAGAGCTACAGGCGGAGTTGAGTAACCTCATAGTTGACTAACATTTTTAGTCTTTAAAAGATACAACGGCAAGATTATAATTTATGGACGAACTAATCAGATTTATGATAGCAGGTCTTGGATTTTAGCACGAAATTCATCCACTCATTTGGCTTAATACTATGACGGTAATACAGATGATGCCAGTTCGTGGTGAAAACCGTAAATGGAATTCCTAACCCTACCATCAACTGTGAATCATAATTATAATTCCTCACATAGCTTTATAACCCCCATTTAGTCCTAGTTTGCGGATGGGTTTTTCAAGGTCCTTTTAAAATAAGTAAAAGAGCAGTTCCAGTTTGGGAAGGGTAGGAGGCTGGACGGTCTGTGCTAGTCCTGGAAATCATGATCTCAGTTGGATCAACTTTCCTTTGAAAGAGTCGACAGATGGAGCTTCAACTGCATGTTGAGGTAATGAATTCTACTCGTTGATGATTCAATGGGAAAGTCGATAGTCAGCTGACAGGTAATTTGTTCTGGGCTTGTGAGCTTTTTGGAGTGTCCTCGTGAATTCTCTGTTTTGAAAGATGAAAAATAAAGGCATATCAGATGCAAACTTATCACTGAGTAATTTGAAAACCGTAATCAAGTCATTTCTAGCTCTTCGATACGGTAATGGGAATAGGTTTAGTTTAGCCAGTCGAACATGATACTAGAGCTTTGCTATTCCAGAAATCGGCTTAGTTGCTGTTATCTAAATCTTTTACAAAAGCTCATTGTCTTTTTTAAGTAGGGGCTAGCCGCTTGTATGCAGTACTCAAGTTTAGGACGCACGAATACTGTATACCGAGTCAAAAACGTTTGAGCGTCGACATGACTATAAGACCTACGTATTGACCATAGGGTTCTAAAGCCTTTGGTGGCTATCGCAAAGCAGTTTGTAGTAGTTTTTAAGTCTTGGCTAACGATGACTTCTAAATCATTGTGTGTCTGGACAAGTATCTCGATGTTATTTATCATGTATGTATCTGTACCTCGATGGCCAATATGCATCACAATGCACTTGGAAGTATTTATCGGTAACTGTCAAGTTTGAGACCATTCAGATAATTTCTCCAGGTCATTTTGAAGTCCGACGCTATCAACTAATTGTCTTCATCTGTATTTGTTCGTGTGTATGAGATAGAAGGGGTAGGTCGTGTGCGAAGTCCAAATCTTCTAATTGATTCCGAGCTGTCCATTGTATTCCGTGTTTCCCCTCAGATGTGGAGGTCTTCATAATCCAGTCGACCACCAGAAGAAAGAGGAAGGGAGAGAGTAAACAGCCTTGTCTGACTCTGGTCCTCACACGGAATACGTGTGTCAGCTGTCCTCCATGCACGACTTTACAGTGCGGGCCGTCTTGTGAATTCCGGATGACGTTGGTGATCTCAGTTACACCATAGTGTCGAACAAAGTTCTATGATGTTCTCCTATCCATATTGTCAAACGCCTTGTCATAGTCAAGGAAGTTGATGTGTAGTGACGAATGCCACTTAAGTGATTGTCCAGCGATGATCCGTAATATCGTGATTTGTTATGTGCACGACCGATCCCTACGGAATCCGGCCTGTTGATCACAAAGATGGGCATCTACTGAGTCTTTCATCTAGTTCAGCAACAATCTGTTGAAAACGTTTCCTGGTACCGATAATAGTTTGATGCCTCTGTATATCTCACACTTGTTTAAATCTACTTTCTTTAGTATCTTGATGAGGTATCCTTTCCAGTCTGTTGGCATTTGTTTCCCCTCCCAAATCTTCCTGAATAGAGTGTGAAGCATTTTTGCAGTTACTTTTATGTTTGACCTCGTTACTTCAGCTGGTATGTTGTCAGGTTCTGCTGCTTTCCCACTCTTGCTTCGTCTGATGGCTGTCGTGATTTCTCCCATCATTGGTGGAGTGACATCTATAAGAAGGTTTGTGTGCTGCCCCGATGTTTGGTGGACTCAGTGGAGCTGGTGTATTCAACAGTTCCTCGAAGTATCCTACCCTTCTGTTCCTCTGTTCTTGAGTTTCTGTGACTGTCTTGCCTTCTTTGTCCCTGACCAGTCTCTCTGGTTTATTATATTCCCTTGCTAGTTTCTTCGTTGTGTCACATAGCTGTCTCATATTTTCTTATCTTGAAGCTTTTTCCGCTGTCGTTGCTAGCTCTTCAACATATTTCTGCTTGTTGGCTATAATGCTTCTCTTCACTTGCTTGTTTGCTTCTGTATATCTAGCTTGTGCCTTGACTTTCTTCTTTCTTTTTCGGCTGTTGTTAACTGCTGTCTTTTTGTTTTTCCTTTCTTGAATCTTGTCCATGGCTTCCATAGAGATCCATTCCTTATGATGATGCTTGTTGTGGTCCAGCACCTCCTAACACGTTGAAGTTAATTCTTCTTTGATCCCTTTCCAGTTGTCCTCCATACTAGTTTCTTCTTTCAGTAGGTCCTATAAGGCTTGTAATATGTTGTTGAGATTTATCTTGACTTCATTGAGTTTGTTAGTATGCCGAAGTAAGGCTGTATCGAACCTTTGTACTGCCGTTTCTCCGGTTGTCCAGTGTTTCTTTAGCTTCAGTTTCATCTTGGCCACAACCAGCTGGTGATCTGAATCTGTAACAAAATAAAAGGCAACAGTTTTTGAACTCCTTGCTTAACATGCATCTCTATCCCAGTTAAAGTTACAATACAAATTGTTCAACGACTTGTTTCAGCTGGCTCATCAGCATAATCGATTGTTTAGTAAGATCATTCCGACAATACAGCAGAATAAATCAAAATCTGGCATAGAAAATGTTCTAATTCACTGACCACTCGCCTAAAACTCTTATTCTTGATTTGATCGCCTTCTGATATATTTATTTTAGCAAATATGAATCTACAGTGCTTGAATTATTTAACCAACGATTTATATTGTTCCCGATATTGCCAGTCCACAGGCTACAGTTCTACGCAAATATATTAAATGGTTAACGTTTCATTGCATCACTCTACAAGTTTATTAATAAAGTGTTGTACGCATCTTTGCAACATGTAAATAGTTCTCAGCAAAATGGGAAATTTTTTTCACTTAAGCGCCCTAACTAAGCCATTTAAGCAGTTACGGACTCTAGTCAGTATTACATCGAGTGTAATAATTGGTCAAATAAATGTAGCTTCGCTGTTTACTGACACCCAAAACAGTACTCGTATGACATCCAAACGGGGAAAGCACATTTTTCAAGGATTGGTGGTTAAGATTTATTTATTTGTTTTGATGAGATTTCAGTAATATTTATCACAATGCAATTTTTTCATATATCAGCCTTCAGGAAATCCGAAAATTATGGATATTACGTTGGACTCTTTAGTAGGAAATCAAAATATCACCCAAATAGATCTAAGGCCGAAACGACCTGTCTATATATCACGTTATGTGCAGACAATGTATCGTGATTCAGAGGCGCAAACTGACCCATATTCTCCATTGTATGTTGTCAATACAGGGGAAAACCTTGAGACACTGAAATTAACTTCGTTGAGTTATGGATATGGACTTCCAGTCGGATTATTTGATGTTGAAAGAATTGAACGTGCAAGACAGAGACGAGAAATTGAAGAAAATTTACCGCCGTATAAAGATATTGCAAATAATCTGGTACAAATTGCCAAACGACGTAAAATTTTGGAAGGTTTAGAAAATCGTGAATGGTACTTCAGAGAAAGAGAGGTTGAAGCGTAAGTCAGACAATTTATTATTACTAAGCTTTTCCAGTCATGTAATTTATGGACGAGGAATTCACTTTAAAAAGCAATTTTCGTTCCTGATAAGTAGAATCAAGGAAAAAATGAAACTAGAAATTTGTAAAAGTTTGTTATACCGTTGTCCTGTACTCATCAAGAGCCCTAAGACGTAGGTGTGGTTTAAATCTCAGTTTATCCAACTTGGTGCTTGAGTCTGATTAGTTTTTACTTTCTTCAAATTGATTGAAGCTGAAACTCTGGTCACATATTTAGTACTTGGTACGAGGCATAAAGGTCTTGGCTTGAGTTGCCGTTAAGGCTGTAGATATTCATTATTGAACGCTCCCAAACTAGTCAAGATGCCACAGATATTCAGAGTTTGACAACGACTTTACACATGACACCGTCCCAATTGGAGTATGCCGATCCAGTCAAATTAGAAATCAGAAATCAAGGTCAGTCAGTCAGTCAATAACACCATAGAACTCCGTACGTACATACGTCAATTTAAGTTGCCATACCACATTAGCACAGAGGTACAATTGTCTATTCAAATCACATGGTGGTAGAGGTGGTAAAAGTATAAGCAGTAATCGGATAGATTAGGGTTTGAAAATATTGTTCAATGAGTATAACCCAGTGAAAAAATTGGAAAGAGGAAAAAGGAAGGGAGATGAAAAATTCAGACAATTAGAATTTGCGAGAACATAAAAGTGGATGCACCTGCAACTTTGCAAACGATTTTGAGTCATTTCATTCAAGGTCTCTAACCGTTGGTTGCTATCATTTCGCGGATCCCAACCGGGTAGTCTACACCTACAGACACTGCTCAGTCCACTTGCCAATGACCTCATGGATTTGTACCATGTTTCGGTCTGGCCACCCCTAGCTTTCTTCCAACCTACTCGTACACCATAAAACATCGCTCGTTCGGGCAGTCGGTGGTTGTGTATACGTAACACATGTCTCAGCCATCTCAACTGATGAAGTTTCACTACTTCAATTGATTTGCCGTCCCTACCTAGCATCCGTTTCCTAACAACTACATTACTTACTTGGTGGTCCCAGGATATATGAGCAATGCTTTGAAGACATCCATGATCGAATACTAGTAACCTACCAATATCCTCTACTCTTACCGGCCATGTTTCACTGCCATAAAGTAGGCCGGAACGAACTGCTGCGCAGTAAACACGTCCTTTGGTTGATAGACGGATATCTCGCCTACGCAATAAATGACGCAAGTTGGAGAAAGCCAGTCAAGCCTTCTGTATCCATGCTGAGGTTTCGTCACACACTAAACCACAAGGGCTGACGAGACTCCCAAGATAAGTGAAGCGGTCGATACACTCAACTCCATCACTCCCCATCATTAGTTCAGGTGCCGATGCAACTCAACCCTGAAGTGACATGTTGCATTTCGAGGGGGAGAATCGCCTTCAGAACATGCTTGCATTGTTGCTTACGGTGGTCAGAAGACTGCATTTTGTCAGCGTCTTCACCAAATAGAACTCTATCATTGGCATACTCTAAGTCAACAAGTGAATCGCCCGGTAAAAGTTTATCTCCTGGAAATTTAGATGAAGAAAGCATTATCTCTAAAAGCACGTCAACAATAAAGTTAAGCAAAAATGGAGAGAGTTGACAGCCCTGAAGAACACTCGAGGTAATCAATTCTGATGACAGTTCGCCATAAGCTCTGACTCGACCAGTTGTGTAGGGAGAGAGAGAGCCTGTATAAGGTTAATGTATTTCCTTGGTACTCCTTTCAGTGACAAACACTGCCATATATCCTCACTATCAACAGAGTCAAATGCCGCCTTAAGGTCGAAAAGTACTATTATTGTGGGACGTCTGAATGTGTGTCTATGTTCTAGGACCTGAAGTAGTGTGAATATCTGGTTCACACAACCACATCCAGGTCGAAAACCAGTCTGGTTTTCTCTAGTTCTGCTCTTCAAGAGCTTTAGTTAGGCGTCGACACATTATTGAAGCTAATGTTTTAGACACTATATTAGTCAAACTGATTCCTCTGTGATTGTAACAAGAGGACTTTTGCCCTTTCTTATAGACTGGCACAATCAGTGGTTGAGACCAGTCAGATGGGATTACATCCAGTTCCCAGATTCTGCCTAAGACCTCAGTCAATCTCGCTGCTAGTACTGGACTGCCATCCTTAAAAATCTCAGGAGTAAACCTGGCAGAACCTGTTGCTCTCCCACGCTTCAGATTTCCTATAGCTTTTTGGACCTTGTCAAGAGTTGGAGGACTTACATCAACTGGTCATTCAGGTCGACTGGAGATCGTGGGAAACCGAAGTGTGGTTGAAGGCCAGTTGAACTGACCCCTAAAGTGTTCTGCCCATCCATCCAATCTCTTGAATTGAGAATGAACAATAAGTCCTTCTTTTTCTGAAATAGTTTCGCTAACAGTCGGTTTCCTTAACAAGTCTGAACAATTGTCTGCTATTACCTATTGCCTCTGCCTTTTCCGTCTCTCTTGCTTTCGCTACCCACCACTGTTCACGATCATTGCGTAGGCTCCTTATCAGCCTGCGCTTAATCTGACTCCGCTCTTTGTCATGTTTAGAGCCAGATGGGATGAGTTTTCGAGCATCTATCACTGCGGTGGATGCTGCTCAGACCCAGTATTTTTCCCTGACCTTATGGTTTACTGTCCTAGCAGATATCAATGCTGTTTCCACAGCTTTTCGGATGTCATTCCACGCTGCCTCGGAGTGGACATCACTTACATGGCTGCCTAACCGTGTTTTCTAGTTGTTCCTTATATATATTCTTAGCTTAGCTATCATTGAGTAGAACCCTAAGAGGTTTCTTTGAATCCTCTTACCTACGTCCAGTGAGACACAGACAAATACGCGCTCGCACTAGAGCATCATGTGAATCCAAGCATGTGCTCCACAACAAGCGTCAGTCTTCTATTGAGCCTCTCCATCGATGGCTGACAGCAATGTGATCTATTTGGGTCCAACGTTGGGACGAATTCGGGGGTCGCCATGTCAAAATATGTTTTTCCTTATGCTTAAAGTTAGTATTTGCAAGGAACAGGCGGTTATCTGAGCATAGCTGCATTAGACGATCGCGATTATCTGTTCTTTGAGCCACGACACCATAAGATCCACTCAGCTGTCCTTGATTTTCGATTAATTTATCTAAGTGTACATTGAAGTCACCAACCACCATTACTACATCAGGGCACCTAACGTTTTGAAGGTCAGAAAACTTTCTGTAAAACTCATCTCTCACCTCATTTGAGCTGGAGTCAGTGGGAGAGTAGACGGAGAGGCAACAACGTGTGTTCTTATCTTTCCGAGTCCTTAGTGTTCCATTTAGTTGGACAGAACGCAAGAAACTGTCCACTGGGATCCAGTCTAAGAGCGTTAGTTCTGCCCTAGGACTCAATGCTAAGGGGTTCGCAGGTATAATTGAAAGGGCTGTCGATACTTCCTTCTAGTCTGAGCCATGTTGGTAGATGCAAACTACTTGGTTGGGGTCCGCGTGACTTTCGTAACCAATGGTTGGAGACTCTTGGTGACATGGCTCAGAATCGATCACAATGGCGTCGGTGTATACACTCCCTGTCTTCCCTTAAACTAAGAGACTAAAATCACTTCATTCTTTCTGTCTACGAACTAATTCTTTCTTCCTATACTATATCCTTATTGCAACCTTTGACCTAACCACTCCTATGAATCCGCTGTTCATCTTGCTGTGCTAATGAGGTATGGAAACCTGGACCGATGCACATATGTGCCTGGTCCTACGTTGTAGCTGACTGACTGACTGACTGACTATCGATACTTCGGGAAGCGCTTGAACTAAGCTACCTAATTGTTGCAAGCGACGCGCAGCACAATATATTCGGTGCGGATGCGTGAGCAAGCGCCTCCATTCAAGTGTGCCAAGTCAAAATAATGGGATCAGCAATATTGTCGAAGACTTACAGAACAATTTATTTTGCAAATCGTTTACCGCTACACTAGTAAGGAAAGTTGTTCGGTTCTCTGCGTTTTCCAACGATTCTCCATTTGATACCAGTTTTCAACAATCCTTTTTAGTTGCTATTCATTCTTTTCATGTCTGCTTTCAATTCTCCGTGCAGCTTTCCTTTGGCCTTCATCTATGAAGGATTAATGCATTCTAATCACATCAATATAACGATGATGAATTTAAATAAGATGATTTACTTGATGCAAAAGATAACCCAAATCTTCTTGTTTTGTTAAAATTGTTAATTTTTCACGTTTTTTTTGAGCTTGTTCATCTTCTAACAGAGCATGCGTTGACCTTGACTCAGCAATTAATTCACTACGTTTTCGTTTACCCTCATACATTTGAGTCTGAATTGCACGCCCGCGAATTAATTGTTGCAACATAATTACAGCTACTTCTTGTCTTTCAGATTCTTCCTGAATTCAACAAATAAACAGTTGGATTAGTCTTAAAATAAGATAATTACAATGTATATCGAAAATGATTCTTTCAAAATTACAGTTAATTGAAATTAGAATCACATGTTTTATCACAAGTTAATTGAACTTAAAAAACTTGGAACACTAGATGTTGAATATTTTGAAAAGTTACATTAAAACTTGACTTCTGTAAACAGATTCAGCGACTCAACTGCATCATATTATCCAAAAGATCAAAGTTTACATGATTGAATCTCGTGAAAGAGTTAAACTTCTGCGCTAGAAAAGAACAAGCGTCAAGGGACATTGTGCGAATTAGCGTTAAAATATTAACTTTTCGCATATTTTTATATACATACTTTACCTGCGTTGTTACACTTCAAGGAGGAATATAAGTCGCCCAACAACATTCTTCATTGAACTCTGTCCAGGACAATACTTTTCAGTTGTTTCCAGTTGCTATTCATCCTTTTCACGTCTCTTTCCAATTTTCCGTGCAGCTTTTCTTTGGCCTTCCTCTTTTCCGTTTCCCTTCATGATTCCAAGTTAGCGCTTGCTTCGCGATCCAGTTTGGTGACTTCTACAATGTATGACCTATCCACTTTCAGTGTGTTTTCTTGATTTCCTCTTCAACTGGAAGCTGGTTTGTTCCTTCCCACAGTAGGTCGTTGCTGATGGTATCCAGCCAACGGACATTGACTAACTTGCGTAGACAAGTGACTATAAGTACTTGTGCTTTTTTGATGATGGCTGTAGTAGTTCTCCAAGTTTCAGCTTCGTTTAGTTGGACTGTCTTGACGTTCGTATTGAAGATTCTGATTTTGATATTGGCTGACAGTTGTCTTGAGTCCCACATGTTCTTCCATTATAGGGATGCGTTCGTTACTTTGCCAATCCTTGCCTTTACGTCTTCATCGGATCCTCCTTGTTCACTGATGAAGCTTCCCAGGTATGTGAAGTTTCCACCTCTTCCAGAGCTTCCCCATCAAGTGTGATTGAGTTGGCGTTCTCCGTGTTTCATTTAAGGATCATGCTTCTTCTCTTGTGTATGTTGAGACCTACTGATTCAGAGGCTGCAGCCATTCTAGTTGTCTTCATCTGTATTTGTTCGTGTGTATGAGATAGAAGGGGTAGGTCGTGTGCGAAGTCCAAATCTTCTAATTGATTCCGAGCTGTCCATTGTATTCCGTGTTTCCCCTCAGATGTGGAGGTCTTCATAATCCAGTCGACCACCAGAAGAAAGAGGAAGGGAGAGAGTAAACAGCCTTGTCTGACTCTGGTCCTCACACGGAATACGTGTGTCAGCTGTCCTCCATGCACGACTTTACAGTGCGGGCCGTCTTGTGAATTCCGGATGACGTTGGTGATCTCAGTTACACCATAGTGTCGAACAAAGTTCTATGATGTTCTCCTATCCATATTGTCAAACGCCTTGTCATAGTCAAGGAAGTTGATGTGTAGTGACGAGTTCCACTTAATTGACTATTCAACAGAAACTCCTGACACGTTGAAGTTCGTGCTTTTTCGATCGCTTTCTAGTTGTCCTCCATAGTAGTTTCTTCTTCTTTGAGGCTTCGAACGTGTTGCCGAGATCCATTCGTAATTCGTTGAGTTTTCCAGTATGTCGAGGGAAGGTTGTATTGTTGAATGCACATAGATTCGCGAATCTCTTACCGTCTTCGTCTCTTTCTCCCAGTCCATGTCGTTCCATTATGTAACTATACTCGGTGTTGTCCATTTCGACTTTGGCGTTTAGGTCTCCTATCGGTATGCTCAGTTCCTTTCCTGAGTACTTCGCTATGACCGATTGCAGCCTCTCGTAAAACTGATCGTTATCTTTGTCGTTTCTATCATTGGTGGATGCACAACACTAGGTAACATGCATTGTGATTCCCTCCTTCTTTGTTTTGAGGGATGCCTTGGTGATTCTGGATCCATGAGATTCTCATCCTACAAATGCTTTACGTGCTTCTTTGGACAGCATCAGAGCAACTTCCTGAGTGTGCGGAGCACTTTATTTTTCATGACCTGTGTACAGCAGCATTTCTCTCAAATCTAACCTTTTCTGTCCAGCATTGATCTAATGGGACAATGTGGGAGACCGGGAGGACCAGTCAAATAGCTACGGGAATGAGGAGTTGCAACATGGCGGTACCTATATTAGTTGTTCCCTTGGTTGTTAGAAGGGGCATTGGCTTTGTGACTTCCGAAGAATCTCGGCTTTCACAACGAGACATCATAATTCTTCTGAATAAAGACCCTTCAACTTCCAGGACAGAGTTTAGATTGCTTAATTTGCTTATTTTGATTAGCGTTTTTTATTAAGGTTGTTTTCTACGGGATGGGATTGCTGACTTTATGCCCAAACCTCCTCTTCTTATTTATTTGTTTATTTAAACAGATAAACATTGGTACAAGGAGGCATCAAATAGGTTTGCGCTACATAAATCGCTCGATTTTTTGGGGGTTGGGATACTGTCCGGGTGCCCAGACCGAAACAGGTGGTTTTCTTAGTGGGCCACACCCGGAGCCTTTGACCTAAAGGCCTAATCCACAAGGCAGTGGAGTGACGTCAGGAGATGCAGTCGCATGGTAGCCGGTGACCAATAATTTGTTCATTCGCCATTTTTTCCTTCAGGATCCTAGAGCCCATATGCACCATTGGTTTGGAATCAGGGTTTTCCAACTCCGCTAGGTGGATCTTCCTTATCCACTAACCCAGTTAAAGCTCCGGGCATTCGCTTTTCACCCTCTCAATTTCGTAGACAACACCCCGTCCGCGGGAAGGCAGCGAGTAGGACTTCCCTGGCAGTGGCTGTGTACACGTGGTCATGTGAGAGCATTTCGTGAGGGAGAGTTGACTCTCCCCATTTTCGACCGTACCAGAGCATTTTGAGACTGTCTCCTCCTCTACCTGGGCTTGGGACCGGCAGTAACGTTAGTAGTGCTACCGGTGGAATTACTTTGGCTTCAGCGTCGTATAAATTTCCTTTGAAAATCATCTTCAGCGGGAAGTTTTTTGGTAGCACGTAATCACAGTTGATTATCTGTTTAAGGAATAAGTTGGTTTTTGATTTGAATTCTTCTGTAAATACATGATTACTGTTGTGCTTGGATATCACTTTGGGAATTGTACTCTTTTGAACGGTCAATGCACTACTTCACAAGATCAAGTAAGCTGAGGCAGTGCAAACCAGACACTTATACTTGACACTTTCCCGAATGATTTGCTTTCTGGATAAAAAGATCCGAGGCCCTGTTGAATAAAGGCCTTTCTCAGGGGACCGGACTGTCCGTTCTTCATTATCCGTGCCATATCCCCACTGAATTCAATTTTCATATCTAAAAATTTCTTCGGAGTTGTGAGAATGGGGTAGGATTACCTAACCCCCAACACAGTTAAGGAAAATGACATTTTTGAAAGCATTTTCTTAACTGAATTGTCCTTAATTTTTCTTCAATGATAACGCATTTATTTATTGATTAGTCGAGTTTTCATACTTTCGTTGATTTTTCTCCTGTACAGAATGCAAGAAGTTCGACTAAATGTAATCGTTCAACTTTTGCGTAGACGTGAACAACGTAAACAAGAAGTCATATCTAGGCGATTAGATCAGAAATGGAGCGAAAGTTGTGCACAGAATGAGACAAAATGCAGAGCTATAAAATATCGTTATATTGGAGGTAATATTATAATGATTTATTTGAGACTAAAATGCTACTAGTAACGAAGAATTCGTATCTTGTTAAATGAGGCGGTTTTGTGTATGTTTCTATATATTTTGAATAAATAAGGTGATATGATAAAGTTATTAACGTGTAGATCTAATACCAACTGGAAAACCATCGACAATCAGTGAGCCGTGGACATTCTCCAAGTTCGAGACTTGTCATTAGCATTCATACAGGAATCCAGACGGATTCGAAACCATGACCTTACCTTCGGACCTAGTGGAGAAAACAATACCTTTAGAAATTCTGGCAGATACCTGTGACATTTTATAGTTAATCCTATCAGGAGTGCGGTAGTTACACACCGATGATAATAAAACCTTGTCCCCTCATACCACTAAAAGTAAATGCGAGTTACTACATCTCGGTTTGGTGATCGGACTGTATAATGTTCTTTTAGAAATATACAAGTCTTGAACCTATGTAACAACCACATAATTGCGTTCAAATATTTCTTCCAGTTTATCCTTAGCTAACATACAACCTTTAGATCCATCCATGATTATATATTGCTCTATGGCTTCCTTAGCTTTCCTTGTGCAGAAATGAATAAAGTTGACAAGATTAGTTTTATTATCACTTGTCATTTACTCAAAAAATTTCTGAAATTCGTATAAAGTTTGATACGCATTTGGTTTATCATGATCCTTGTTCACCTCTAGCTTAAGTTGTTTTAATTGATGCTCGATGTAATCTCCTACTGTGTCTGATGTATGTTCACGAATCATTACAGTTAAATTGTCTTCATCGGGCTATAAATTTTTCGCGATGGAGTCTTTTCAAAGTGACTAGTTTCTCAATTTCTTCTACTGTCAGCTTGTTAACTTTACTTTTAACGTTTCTAAGGCAGATATAGTTAGTGGCTATCAATGGAATGAAGAATGTGCATTTCATCCTATTTGGGACTTATAATCTAGATACTAGTTACTCAATGGCAATATCTATGGTGCACAATTTGTGTGAATGTATTTATTCTAGGGCTAAATATTTACCAAGTACTGAAATAAAAAAAATCATTCATATTTCACAGTACTTGTCTGTTGCTGAAACTCTGAATTTCCTCACTTAAACGTTAAAATTTTTTAAACTATTAAGTACTAGGATTCATTATGTTGTATATAGGTAAATATTTTCAACTGTTTTGAGTTTGTTGTTTTTCATATACACCTCGATGGAAAGCAGCACTTTTTTGCGGAGACACACACTGTTTCCAGCTTAAACATCCATCGATTATTTATTAGACAGTTTTATGATTGTTTTATTGTATTTTTTACATTGACTTAGTCGTAAGGCATATTTCATCTCGTGAGTTGTTAGCTTATTGTTTACCATTTATTAATTACAGTCAATTAACTAGAAATTTCAGCTTCTCATCAAAAGTTCCCTCGTTGTGTAATTATTGAAACTCGCTAGTGGTGGTTCGTTGTATTCTTATATTTTCCTACTAATAAACACATGAGTTAAAAGTCTAAATAGTAAAAAGTACTTGTGACTACTCAGATGTATTACTGGCATTCTCACTAGAGGTTTAATAAAGTGGGAATCCGAGGCTCTCATTTGGTCATGTGATGAACACATTGGATCTTCTATTGTCAGTATAGGATCGAGCATTAAAAAAAACTTGAACTGATATACTTCTTCATTGTTCTGTCTGTTAAATAACAGTATTTACTGTAAGCTTCGGCAGCGAAAATAGATGTAACGGCAACCACAATAAATAATACTAATCCACATAACTCCAGCTCACAAGTTCAAATTAAAAGACTAAGAAATACAAAGAACTTTTTCTCTCAGTGTGGTGATTTACACAACTGGCAGTCACATGCATTCAATATGAGTTGTGTTTTTTTAGACAGTTGGTTTAGAATAGCATTAAAATGACTGGTTTAAATTTGTTGCTCACATCTCCCCACTCATTATTGAACAAATCGTCATGACTTCCCTGTTTTTCACTCAAATATGTCACCCAATAATATTAATCCTTTTAAAAGTGACACAATCGATTAAGATTGTTTTAGGATGGATATAAAAATCAACAATTTATGGGATGATTATCTTTTCACTGGCAATGAACTCAGGTAATTACGTTTTCACTAGTTTGGATTTAAGTTCCAACCTGGTTTCAACCTCAGAATTCTGTTATCTTAATATGTATGAGTGGAGAACAGTGTGCACCTGAACATATTGAGCACTCATTTCGCTACCAATTAAAAAACCCACTATTTTCCATTACTTATGGTCATATCCTAGAAATGTATTATTAGGGTTAAAGAAAAAAACCACAGTCGCTTGAATATCGGCCGATCTCACATAGAAATACCTTAACTAAAACGACATAATATTAACATTATCATACTTATTCTGATTTTGATTATACTCAAAATACCCTACTTTATTCCATTTGTACTATTTAAACTTAGGTAAATTTAGTTCTTTTGTTATTTCTCTGAATAAGAAAAATAAACTAGGTTGTATGACGTTGCAAATTCAATTTTCTACTCATTGAGATTTTATAAATATATAAATCGACCAACCACTGAGTAGTTACCAATGCCACTTTTGTAATTCCACCGATTAAGTGGTAATATGGCCATTAGTCTAAGTGGTTCAACACTGGACGACACACCATAAAATATCGGTCCAGGATTTTTTGCCGATTGCCTCCAACCATCTGATATAATATAGTGTGCACGATATCAACAGCCTAGAGTCCTTATTGTTCCTTTTCCCTGCCTAGCTTTGACTGTTAAATCCAGAACACCAGTATCAGCTTCCACTATTACTTACTTACTTACGCCTGTTACTGCCAATGGAGCATAGGCCGCCGACCAGCATTCTCCAACCAACTCTGTCCTGGGCCTGCTTTTCTAGTTCCATCCAATTATTGTTCATTTTTCTAGTGTCTGTCTCCATTTCCCGGCGTAATGTGTTCTTTGATCTTCCTCTTGTCCTTCGGCCTTGAGGATTCCATGTGAGGGCTTGTCTTATGATGCAGTTGGGTGCTTTCCTCAATGTGTGTCCTATCCACTTCCAGCGCTTCTTCCTAATTTCTTCCTCCGCTAGGATCTGGTTTGTTTTCTCCCATAGTAGGTTGTTGTTAATAGTGTCCGGCCAACGGATCCGAAGTATTACGCGTAGACAGCCGGTAGTAAACACTTGTATCGTCTGGATAGTGGTTTTCGTAGTTCTCCAAGTTTCCTCTCCATACAGTAGAACCGTCTTGACATTTGTATTGAAAATTCTGACTTTGTTGTCGGTTGACAATTGTTTCGAGTTCAAGATTTTCTTCGGTTGTAAATATGCTGCTCTTGTTTGCCGATTCGCGCCTTCACATCTGCATCAGATCCACCGTGTTCATCAATGATACTGGCCAGATATGTAAAGGTTTTGACATCTTCTAAGGCTTCTCTGTCAGGTGTGATCTGATTGGTGCATGCTGTGATGTATCGGAGAATCTTGCTTTTCCCTTTGTGTATGTTGAGACCTACTGCTGCTGAAGCTGTTGCTACACTGGTCGTTTTCTCCTGCATTTGTTGTTGCGATTGCGATAGGAGGGCCAGATAATCTGCGAAGTCTAGATCGTCCAAATGCAACCTAGATGTCCACTGTATCCCGCGTTTCTCTTCAGATGTTGACGTTTTCATGATCCAGTCGATCACCAGGAGAGAGAGAAAGGGTGAGAGTAAGCAACCTTACCTGACACCGGTCTTTACCTCGAACGAGTTTGTCAATTGTCCTCCATGCACAATTTTGCAGTTTAATCCATCATAGAAATTCCGTATGGTAGTGACTATCTTCTGAGGCACGCCGTAGTATCGAAGATGCTTCCGTAGTGTTGTTCTGTCCACGTTATCAAATGCTTCCTCGTAGTCAATGAAGTTGATGTAGAGTGATGAATTCCATCCAATCGATTGTTCCACAATGATCCGTAGAGTTGCGATTTGATCTGTACACGATCGATCCTTACGGAATCCTGCCTGTTGGTCTCGAAGTTGGGCATCTACGGAGTCCTTCATTCTGTTTAACAACACCCTGTTGAAGACTTCCTGGTATTGAGAGAAGAGTGATACCTCTGTAGTTCTCACACTTGCTGAGATCGCATTCATTTGGTATCTTGTTCAGAAGTCTTTCTTTCCAGTCTGTTGGCACTTTTCCTCCATCCCAAATCTTGCTGAAGAGAATGCGGAGTATCCTTGCAGTTACCGCTACGTCTGCTTTCAGTACCTCTTCTGGAATGTTGTCCGGTCCTGCTGCTTTGCCACTCTTGATTTGTCTGATGGCCATACTAGTCTCATCAATTGTTGGTGGGCCAACATTGATTGGGAGGTCGGTGGGTGCTGCTTCGATGTTGGGTGGGTTCAGTAAAGCTGGTTGATTCAAGAGTTCTTTGAAGTGTTCTACCCACCTGTTTCGATGTTGGTGATTACTTTACCCTCTTTTCTTTCCACTGGTCGTTCTGGTTTACGGTAATTTCCAGGTAGTTTCTTTGTTGTGTCATGCAGTTGTCTCATGTTTCCTCCTCTTGCAGCTTTTTCCGCCGTCATTGCTAAGTCCTCCACATATTTACGTTTGTCAGTTCTGATGCTCCTTTTCACTGGCTTGTTTACTTCTGTGTATTCAGCTTGTGCCTTGGCTTTTTCTGATCTTGTTCGGCTGTTATTGATTGCTGCCTTCTTGTTCCTCCTTTCTTGAATCCTATCCAGTGTATCAACAGTGATCCATTCCTTGTGGTGGTGCTTCTTGTGGCCCAGAACCTCATGACATGCTGAAGTGATTGCCTCTTTGATCCCCCTCCAGTTGCTCTTCATAGTAGTTCCCTCTGCATTGAGTAGATCGTGAAAGGCCTGGAACCTATTACTGAGGGCTATCTTGAATTCACTGAGTTTGTCAGTATCCCGAAGAAAGGCCGTATTAAACTTTCATGCTGTTGTCCTCCTCATTGTCCGGTACTTCTTGAATTTCAATTTCATCTTGACGACCAGCAAGTGATGATCTAATGCTATATCAGCTCCTGTCTTGGTTATCACATCCTCCATTGTCCTCCTGAACTTATTGTTGATGCAGATATGGTCGATTTGGTTTTGCGTAGTGTGATCCGGTGAAGTCCATGTGATTTTGTGAATGAGTTTATGTGGGAATATAGTGCCGCCTATGACCAGTTTATTGGAGGCATATAGGCTTGCAAATCTCTCACCATCTTCGTCCCTTTCTCCCAGTCCGTGTCGTCCCATGATGTCTTCATATCCGGTGTTGTCCATTCCAACCTTGACATTTAAATCTCTCACCAGAATGTTCAGGTCTTTTGTTGGGCACTTCTCGACGATCGACTGCAGCCTATTGTAGAATTGATCTTTAGCATCTTCACTGTATTCGTTGGTAGGCGCAAAGCATTGGATGGCGTTCATTGAAATGCCCTATTTCTTTGTGTTGAAGGAGGCTTTGATGATCCTTGGTCCATGAGATTCCTATCCTATAAGTGCATTTTGTGCTTGTTTGGGCAACAATAACGCAACTCCTTGTGTATGTGGGGCATTTTCTTCTTCATGGCCAGAGTATAACAGAAGCTCCCCTGAAGCTAGTCGTTGTTGTCCAACTTGCCTCAAATATGTTTCACTGATGCCCAGCACCTCTAGTTTGTAACTGCTCATTTCTGCAGCAATTTGGAAGGCTCTCCCACATTGTACGAGCATTTCATGTACCTAAATTAATGGTTGCTCTGGTTGTCAGAAGAGCATCAGCCTCGTGACTTCCGAAGGAACTCGGCTTTCACCATCATGCGTCCCAACTCTTCTAAATGAAGATCTTCTGACTCCCAGGGCACAGTTTAATTGGGTTAAATAATTTTTTCTGGTTAGCGTTATTTTAGCGAGTTAGTTTTCTACGGGATGGGGCCGCTAACCCTCCTCCTTTATCCGGGCTTGGGACCGGCAGTAGTTCCAGAGGGGCTTCACGTGGAGCTTCCACTACATGTATCATATATTTCAAACATACTTGGTTTATATACAAGCCAACCAGACCACACCGTACTATAAAATAGAAAATAACATTTGCACAAGATCAAGCCAAAATGTGGCTGTGATCGTGACTGTAATCAATAAACTGAGTATAATTTAAGAAGAGTAAATTGTGTAATAATAGTCTATAAGTTAAAATAAAGCTTATAATAAGAGGAGAAGAGATATATATAATCTAGTTACTGAATAGTTATACAATGAGAATATGTATAATGTTAGTCCATTAATATTCCTCAGAAGTTACTCGTAATTTAATCTTCACTATGATATGACGGTTACCAACAGGAGATAATAGATGGTTGCAAAATGTCGCGGATTGAGTGAGGTTAAACATGTTCATCATTGGATCCAACTCATTAATCTAGAGAATGAAGGCCTTCCGTGGGGCCGATGGTCCTGGGTTCGATCCTCAGTGAGGTCGTGAATGTGGGCTGCTGAGGGGTTCCATGATAGGAAGAAACAAATTTCCCATGTTTACCGTTTTCCAATGAATGTCTAACTTAGGTCAGTTTGTGATATCAAAAACATGGAATTAATTAACACTCAGTAAAAGTTCAGTGTGAAAATCTAAGTTCTGTAGTTCAGTTGATTCTCGAATACCTCAGTGTTAATGTATCTAATCTTGACAGTCAATAATGCCTCTTCAAGTATTACATAAAACATCAATTCCCATATGACGACTAAATTTATGTCTTCAAGATGAGTGCTAGCTTGCACAACGCCTAGATCTAGCTTTGACTGGCAATTATGATCGCAAAAGTGATAAAGAAATAAACTTGTTACCATAATACTTCTCCGAGTCCAGAGAGAAATTAGATATACAAATGGTTTGATTTTCTCACCAGAGTGATTGTATTTAAAAACGCCCCTTAATTAGAAGTTTTTAAGTAATGTACTAATCTGATAATAACTTTCATTACGTATGGGCTTCAACTAGAAACTTACTGACGCTTCTATCTGGTTTAACAATCGTCAACGGTTCGCACCGACGGCACTTCATGAAGTCGAACGAAGGACTATTAGGCATCAACCAGTGAGTAGGAATGAAATGCTTTACATTTTTTTATTTCAGTCAGTTTTCTACTTATGAAGATTGCAGTATTTTAACAGTTGAATTCACGCGTCGAACTAAGCTAGACCACTGTTAGAAACCTGGAGGCACTGGACGGTCGTTTCGTCCTAGTATGAGACTCTTCATTAGTACATGCGTGACTCGGACCAGCCTACGGGGTTATGGGTGCGCACTGTTGGGGAGTCTCGCAGTAGGACAAAACGGCCGTCCAGTGCTTCAAGGTTTCCAATGATGGTCTAGCTTAGATCGACTCGTGAATTCAACGGTTTTCTATCTGTCATGACCGCTATCCAATATCATATTTTAGCTATTACCACACTTCCAAATTAGTTAGGTTGCAGCTATGGAAAATCTGTTTAAAAGTTGATTACCAAATGAACAATTCTAATGGTTTTTGAAGTCATTTTTCGATTTAGGATAATATTAGTTTGGTGCAGGATTATAGTTGCTCACTAATGAAAGACCCTAAACCATGACCAGGCAACTGTTCAATGCTTCTTCTTTCTTAATGGTTGTTAACTGACGTCAGTTTGTAATAAATTATAGTATATCACTATTCGTTTTGTGACGATCACCGTTATGTTTTATGGATAAATAAGAATTTTCATTCTCCTTTGTGTCTTTCCTTCTTTGTATCTACTCCAGAGTTACGCAAATTATTGAAACTTCGGTTAGCTGCTAAAGAATATAAATTTAAACGTGATATGATAATGGATTATGCTAAACCATCATCTCAAGTTTTTGCTCCACTCACGCGACTTGGTGTATTTCCAGATCGTAGTTCTGAACGTTATGTTGTAAAAAATATATATTCATCGCGTTATGAAGGTAATTCAATGGTACATTTACGTATTTAGAAAATACACTGTAGCTTAAACCGTAAATCATTTTTTTTCCAGTAATGCATTCTTAAGGTACCAGAAGGATAACTTAAACCTGAGAGCAAGGAAGTTGTTATTTGATTCATGAATCACAATGTTGTGATAATTATCGCGTATTTTTTATACTTGGAAACTAGATCAGTGCTTGAGTTCTCAAGTCAGTAATATTGGTTATATATGTGCGTCATTTGTAGTTTCTTTGTATTGTCGTGTTTCTAAGACATGGCATAAATATGCATCTACCCAAATATGCATACAATATAAAGACAGTCAAATAAGACTGATAGCATGGCATTCAAAATAATGATAGGATTACGTGATAGTAAAAGGAATTAGATGTAACTAAAAGAATTATGAAAGACTTCATTATGGATTTAGAAATGTAAAATTCTTTGTGAAGATGGATCTGTGGGGAAGGAGTTATTAAATATAAAAAAGATTTTTTTGAATTTTTCCATCGACTGGTTTAAAAAAATAGGGTTTGGAACTGAAGATATTGTACTTTTTTAACCATTAAGTAAGGTTGTATTAAATAGCAGATACATCCGGCTGACGAGTCCCAAATAAGACGATATTCACATTGTGGATTTCATTCCCAGCTATATTCCACTTATATAAACTTATACACTGATTATATCGAAGCAATATACGCAGGATATACACACACCAACCAGGACTGATCGAATTTCAGTCAAGAAATATGAAAAATGGGATAATCCGAACCATCATAAATTAAATTATAAAGTAAGATGTATGAGAACGTGGTTAAGTTTCACTATGGTACGCCAAATATATTTGTATTTACTCAGTTCTTGTGATTAGATACTTATTCATGTTGTATGTAGCTGATGCGAATTTTATAAAACTGATACTCTGGACCAACAAGATATAGGTTAAAATGTAAGCGCACGTTATTGACTAAGATTTGACTTCGTTTTCTAAGGCGGGATACGACATCAGTTGAGAATGTGTCTTCATCTAAGTAGAAGTGATGTACGTGTATATTCTCAATTCGGTTTCAGTCAATACATTTTCCTTCTCGCCCTCGGTCTTCTGACTCAAGTAGCTGGTTGGGTTTGTTTATAGGAAGCTTATGTATCAGTATCAGGTCTGGATGACCGTATGACATAACAACGACAAAACGGATTCAGTATATTTTTACAAACGTTTACTCTACTCACATTGTTTTGAACAGTTACATAAGCAGAAGCTATTTCAATTATCAACAGAAACAAAATGAACGAGGTTTTGTTACTTGTTTTTTGTTCAATAAATCATAGTTCAAATCAGTCTCTTAACCAAGACTTTACATATTGCGTTTTAGCTAGATTATAACTTTGATTATGTAAGGTTTTCTTTTTGAAGTTTTCTGTTAAGCTTTAATTCTTAAATGGCTCAGTTTGGTGTCATTGTGTCCCTTAAGTTGAGTAATTTATTAATTAAGCTTTCTGGAGAACATTATTGGTGGCAATTCCTGATATAAATGAAAGTAGAGAATTTCTATTTGCAGTAGATTTGTCCAGAATTGAAATAAAAGATTTGGTATTAAGCCTTTCAAATCATAGAATTCAACACTAGTAAATCCATATACATGCTCTGCGACTTTTATCTATCATTTATTATTATTTATTTATTTGAACACATAAATATTGGTACAAGAGAGCGCCAATATATATGCGCCACACAAAACAATGGGAATTCGAAGAGAAGTAGAAAGAAAAAAAAAGAAGAAAAAAAAACTAAGGAACGCAAAAGAAAGAGAGAGTAATGACGAAGAGGTACAATCAGAAGAAATCTTTCAGTTAAGGAAGATACAACCACTTTTTATGAAGAAAGTAAAAGAAGGTTACAGCAGGATCGCCACTGGCTTCTATTCTGAGCCATATCTGATAACGTCTCTAGCCACTGTGTAGCACCATCTCTCGGACCCCAGCCAGGGAGTCGTGAAGGACCAACACAAGCCAGTCCTTTGCAGCTTTCTTTCATGCCACGACACCATGTCATGCACTGACCACCTCTCCGCTTCTTCCAACCAGTCCCAGAGTCGGCAAATAATGCACGACGTGGAATTCTCTGGGACGACATTCGGAGAACATGTCCAAGCCACCGAAGTCGGTGTTTCAAGATGGTGACACCAATTGAGTTATCATCTCTGTGCCCGAACACACGATGCCGAACCTCTGCATTACTGACTTGGTGTTGCCACTGAATGTCAGCAATCCTTCGGAGACAGCGATGATCGAACACAGAGAGTCGTCTAACGTCCTCAACTCGGAGAGGCCAGGTTTCACAAGCATAGAGCAAAACTGCTCTCACCGACGCGTTGTAGATCCGGCCTTTTACAGCCAGACTAACATCACGAAGGCGCCAAAGGTGGCCCAGATTGGCATAAGCCGCTCTGGCTTTCACTATTCGTGCATTGATCTCATCACTCACACCCCCACCAGCACTTATGCAGCTACCCAGATACACGAACTTCTCGACTACGTCTATCTGCTCACCATCCAGGGTGAGTACAGGATTGGAATCCTGCCAGTCTTGTAGAAGTACTTTGCACTTCGAAGGTGCAAAGCACATACCATACCTACGGACATTGATTGCCAACTGATTAAGTGCGGATTGCATGCCTTGGGCATTATCGCACAGTAAGACAATATCGTCCGCATACTCAAGGTCGAGAAGTCTTTCTCCAGGCAACAGATCCACACCACCATTACTTACATTCATCAGAGCTGTTTCCAGAATGTCATCGATGGCAAAGTTGAAGAGGAATGGTGAGATTGGGCAACCCTGCCTAACCCCACTGCTCGAATGGAACAATGGAGAGAGGTGGTTGTATGCCCTCACTCTGCCTGAGGTGTTTTATATAGGGCTTTTAGGATGTTAATAAACTTCTCAGGCACACCCTTCTTCAATAGACAATCCCAGAGAACAGTCCTATCCAACGAATCGAAGGCAGCCCTGATGTCAAGAAACACTACGATTGTTGGCCTTTGAAAAGTATGGCGGTGTTCTAACATTTGGCGGAGGGTGAAGATATGATCAATACATCCTCGACCAGAACGAAACCCAGCCTGCTCCTCGCGAGTCAATCTTTCTCGGGTTTTGAACAACCTACGAAGAATGACGGAAGCCAATAGCTTGGACGCAATCGGAAGTAAACTTATCCCCCGATAGTTGTTACAAGAACGACGTGAACCCTTTTTAAAGATAGGGACAACTATCGACTCATTCCATGACGTTGGTACACTCTCTAGTTCCCAAACCTTTGTAAACAACTTCGTCAATTCCTTAGTCAGAAAGTCACCACCATCTTTAAAAAGAGCCGGAGGTAAGCCATCTGGGCCAGGTGATTTGTAACGCTTCAAGAGTTGGAGTTCCTTGCGGACTTCCTCCTCGTTTGGTGGATCAGTCGTCACCGGCCATGGAGGGCAGGACAGTCTGACCGATGTTGCCGGAGCAGCAGGCCAGTTGAACTGCCCTTCGAAAAATTCTGCCCATCGTCCAAGACGTCGATGGATGTTAGTGATTGGCATCCCATCATCCTGGCAGATTGTTTCACCCACACCAGACTTCTTGCTGCCAGTGGCTCGGATGAGTTGGAAGAGTTTCCGGTAGTTACCAGATGCAGCTGCTGCTTCCAGCTCATTAGCACGCATCGACCACCAGGCTTCTCGGTCCTTACGCAAGCTTTGCCCGATTTCCTTACGTAAAATCCTTCGTTTATGGTCAAACTCACGGTTACCCGGAGTAAACCGACGGGCTTCAATGAGTTGTAAGGAACCAGAAGAAACCCAGTGCTTAAAAGCGGGACGTTTCGCAAACCCACAACTGACTGTTCCCGCCATTTTCATGGCGTCATGCAATTGCAACCAATGCTCATCTATACTTTTCGGTGGAGTGGTAGCTAGCCTAGAGGCTAGCTCGGTTCGATACTTATTTGCAACAGAAGTTGCAACCAGCTTGCTAACATCAATCCGTTGATGGCGTTCACTTCGTTGTCCACTGAAAAGTAAGGCAAGATTGGCGCAGACCAAGGCATGGTCAGAGTCCAGATAGGTACTCCAAAAGGAGCGGCAGTCTTGTACACAACCACGCCAGCGGTAGCTGATCGCGATGTGATCAATCTGAGTCCAGGCTTGAGATGCAGAGGGAGGACGCCAGGTGGCACATCGGCGATGACTGTGCCGAAAGTTAGTGCTAGCCAGAAACAGGTTGTGGTCTGTGCACAGTTGCAGTAGACGGTCCCCGTTATCTGACCTGCGACCAACGAGTCCCCATCGGCCACCTAAACGACTCTCTTCTGTGCCTAGACGCCCGACCTGAGCATTCAAGTCTCCGGCTAGTACTACAATATCTGTCGAACGCACTTTCTGGAGAAGAACTGATAACTGGTGGTAAAACTCATCCTTGATTGCATCCGGGCTGCAATCTGTCGGGGCATAGGCGGAGATGACGAAAAGACATCGTTTCTCACGCCGATTTCTTCTCACTTTGATGGAACTTTCTAATCTAACAGCACATAACCGACTGTTAATGGGGATCCAATCGACTAGTGCTGCCTCAGCTCTAGCGCTTAGTGCGACACCAACGCCAGCAAGACCAGACGAAGATGCCACAGGGTCCCCGGATAAGCGCACGTAAAACAAGCTTTTCGAAGCGACAGATGGAGATCGAATTTGTAGTACTTCGCCAGAGTCTTGAATACGGGTCTCGGATAGACAACACACGTCGATATTAAGACTTTCCAAAGACATAGCCAGCCCTATCTGTTGTCCGACCTGCATAAATGTGCGAACGTTGAAGGCAGCCAGTTTGAATGGTGCATGTGGTTTCAGAAAATCTGCTTCAGTCCTCGTATTCGGTGGTAACATACAATTTTCAACCGGACAGTGACTCGAGAACGTTTAGATACAGTCGGAATTCCACCAAAGACGAGCCGCTGTATAAGTATAAAAGAAGGTGAATAATGTGGAAAATAATAATAATAATAATAATAATAATAATAATAATAACCATAATGACAATAATAGTAGTAATAATAATATTAGTATTAATAATGACAATAATTGCAGTGATCATAATTTGAATCAATTGATTGTTTTTCAAAGCGACAAAGGTAATTTCCATGGACATAGAGTTCATCATTTGTGTGTGGGCTGTGATACTGCCCGGGTGCCCAAACCGAAGCAGGTGGTTATCTTAGGGGGCCACTCCCCGAGCCTTTGACCTAAAGGTCTAACCCACAAGGCAGTGGAGCATCGTAAGGAGATGCAGTCCCATGGTAGCCGGTGACCAACGATTGGTTCATACGCCATTCGTTCCCGCAGGATACTGGAGCCCATGTGCACCATTGATTTGGAATCCGGTTAAAGCGCCGGACATTCGCTTTTCGTCCTCTCATTTTCGTAAACAACACCCCCGCCACGAGAAGGCAATGAGTAGGACTTCCCTGGCAGAGGCTGTATACGCGTGGCCGTGTGAGAGTATTTCGAGAGGGAGAGCGGACTCTCCCCACTATCGGCCGTACCAGGGCATTCAGGGTTATACTACAGCAATATATGGTAACATTCCTATAGAGCTGATATTGTGGCAGTTAATCAATCCTACTGACACATTGTTCAGAAGAAAAATTCTTTCTTATGGTATGGGCCAACTCAAAATACATAAGACTATACAAACATTAGTCTTGAAGGAAATAACAACAAAGACTTAAGCAGAATAACATGATTTCATTTTATTTCGTTTAGTTCTCGTGATAGGCATAATCTAAAAATCATAATTACAAAATGGGTTTAAATTATCCATACAAAAGAGTTTAGTTGAAAGTTAATATGATCACATATCAGTACAGTATATCAAAAGTGTAAATAAATTTAAAACACTAAATAAAATGTAAATATATATCTTATGTATAAGAACATTCTATAAAATCGATAGCAGCAAAAGTTCAGAAGACCAGTAACAAGTGGCAACGTAATGAATAAAGGCTGATAATAAATAAGAATAAAATGAGTGAAGCTCATTTAGTTAAAGTAAGATTTATAATTTAGAAGACAGTCGAATTAAAGAGATCTATTGATGTAGTTAATTGAAGAAAGAATTGAGCAAAGTTTTACTGTGTAACGAGGGAATGTTTTTCCCCAGGGCAAAGGAAGGCTCAGTATGAAACAAAGTATTTTAAAAAACAATCAAAGGTCGACAAGTACTACTTTCGTGTTATCACCAATTCACATGTACCTGCCAATGCAATCACATTGGCCAAACAGAAAAGAGAACTTATCTTAGATTTTTTGAACATGTTCCAAAACGCCTTCGAATAAGAGAAAGGACTATTTTAAATATTGTAATCACGAAACATCTTTTGAACAGGGAACATTAGATCAATACCTCGAAATCTTGTAGGATGATTAATAAAAAGCCAAACTTCAGTCTTCTGAAGTTTGCTAAAGCCATCACTTTCAGTCATCAGAGATCAGATTTATGTGTTCAAAAGGAGTTATCTGTTGATCTTTCCTTGCATTGATGACAAACATTCCTTCATTACACCGTAAAACCTTGCTCAATTCTTTCTTCAATTAATTACATCAATATGTGTTTATTTCGACCGTCTTCTAGATTATAAATCTTATTTTAACTAACTGAGCTTCACTCATTTTATTCTTAATTATTATCAGCTTTTATTCATTATGTAGCCACTTGTTTCTAGTTCACTGGACTTTTGCCTCAAGATGATAAAGGGAGCTATGTTTATGTAAACAACAATTCTTCGTTGTGACGATTTGAAGAATGATAGCTTCGATTAATACAAACTTGTAATGATTTTTACGTTGTTTATTAACGTCTAAATAACACATAATAAATGCCAAACTATAATCCCATTTGAAAAAGCTTCATATCTATTCATCCATTCGGTATTTTTGTCACCTTTTTCAGGTCTACTTACTTTAGAAGCCAGATTGCCTCGATTTGCATTCCAACCAAGAATTAGATTACAACAACCGAAACTACACACAAAAGATGGATTTCTAAAACGTAAATATCGCCATCAAAAAGAATTAGCTGAATTACACGATGTATGTCTCTTTACTTGTGTAAAAATTGTTTAACTATAGAAAAGATTTCTTTCATGGTACATAAAAGTTATTCATTTTTACCTGGTATACATTCTTTTAAATTCATATTATCTTTTTGAAAGAAAACACGGTGTAGATAAACGATTGCTGAATTAACTGATTGTTTTCGTCATTGACTGGCATAAACCATCGTGAATTGTTGTGAACTAAGGAGGACTGATTATCCACTTTATCTTAGTGTACAACTTGTCATCAGCACACACCTATAATCATGCACGATTAAACTGATGGCCTTAGAATTTCATGGAGAAAATGATATTGCTAAGAGGTTCGAGTGAAAACCTGCAACCTGTTAAATCAATCAAGTCAGAAGCGTAGCAGCTCTACCTTAATAATTTTAAGTGGTGATTACGCAATTTTTTAAATCAATTGCTATTGTAAACGTTAACCATTGGATACCAGATACTATGTATCAATAAGATAACAATTTTTTCAGGATCTGAAGCTTTCGGATTCTATCTCCTTTGACGTTGAGATTTCTCAAACTAGGAAATAACATTTGTCGATTAGTCTGCGGTTTTCACTGGTGTTAAAGGGGATACATCAGACGATAGCAAAAACCACATTCATACAAAACACTTAATTCGTCATATTTATAATATCAATGCAGGAAAATTATGATGTTAAATATGATAATAAATTTTTGACGAATAATAATCACATTTAAAAATTATTTTGGCATACAACTCTTTACTTAGTCTAAATAGTACTAGCTCAATTGATTCATCTAACATGGAAATAGAAATGATATAGAATTTCGATTGAACAACTATGATGTAAGTGAAGAGTGTACTCTTGAAATCTAATGCATTTCATCTTGATACCAGACACTGCTCAAACTACTCATTATTGTTTTCATAGACTTTCACAAAATATTTATTTCCTATCACTTTTCTCACTTTACAAACAACAGCGATCAGAATTTATTTCATAGTGAGAGCATTTTCACTGACTGGGATATAATGTTGGCTATTTAAAAATTTTCGATTCGAATACAGTGTACTGAGAATTATATTATTTTTTTTCTCAGAAATACACATGGGAGTTTTCCATGTTGGGAGGTATAGGATAACTTACCTGTAAATAAATAAATAAATAAATAAATAAATAAATAAATAAATAAATAAATAAATAAATAAATAAATATAAATAAATAAATAAATATATATATATATATATATATATATATATATATATATATATATATATATATATATATATATATAATGATGTTAAGTTGGATATTAAACGACAAATGATATTTATGTATTATTATTAGTAGACGGATTCAATACCTAAGCGATTGAGATAAATCTTTTCAAATGAACAGGTGCTCAACCCCGTAAGTTATTTTGACCCACCAACAGTGAGGCTAATTAATAAAGTGCCCTAACGTATAAACTGTATTCGGCATTCACCGTTTACTTATTTCTATAAACGCATTGGAATAAGCATAGGTCGCCCAACAACATTCTTCATTGAACTCTGTCCAGGACAATACTTTTCAGTTGTTTCCAGTTGCTATTCATCCTTTTCACGTCTCTTTCCAATTTTCCGTGCAGCTTTTCTTTGGCCTTCCTCTTTTCCGTTTCCCTTCATGATTCCAAGTTAGCGCTTGCTTCGCGATCCAGTTTGGTGACTTCTACAATGTATGACCTATCCACTTTCAGTGTGTTTTCTTGATTTCCTCTTCAACTGGAAGCTGGTTTGTTCCTTCCCACAGTAGGTCGTTGCTGATGGTATCCAGCCAACGGACATTGACTAACTTGCGTAGACAAGTGACTATAAGTACTTGTGCTTTTTTGATGATGGCTGTAGTAGTTCTCCAAGTTTCAGCTTCGTTTAGTTGGACTGTCTTGACGTTCGTATTGAAGATTCTGATTTTGATATTGGCTGACAGTTGTCTTGAGTCCCACATGTTCTTCCATTATAGGGATGCGTTCGTTACTTTGCCAATCCTTGCCTTTACGTCTTCATCGGATCCTCCTTGTTCACTGATGAAGCTTCCCAGGTATGTGAAGTTTCCACCTCTTCCAGAGCTTCCCCATCAAGTGTGATTGAGTTGGCGTTCTCCGTGTTTCATTTAAGGATCATGCTTCTTCTCTTGTGTATGTTGAGACCTACTGATTCAGAGGCTGCAGCCATTCTAGTTGTCTTCATCTGTATTTGTTCGTGTGTATGAGATAGAAGGGGTAGGTCGTGTGCGAAGTCCAAATCTTCTAATTGATTCCGAGCTGTCCATTGTATTCCGTGTTTCCCCTCAGATGTGGAGGTCTTCATAATCCAGTCGACCACCAGAAGAAAGAGGAAGGGAGAGAGTAAACAGCCTTGTCTGACTCTGGTCCTCACACGGAATACGTGTGTCAGCTGTCCTCCATGCACGACTTTACAGTGCGGGCCGTCTTGTGAATTCCGGATGACGTTGGTGATCTCAGTTACACCATAGTGTCGAACAAAGTTCTATGATGTTCTCCTATCCATATTGTCAAACGCCTTGTCATAGTCAAGGAAGTTGATGTGTAGTGACGAGTTCCACTTAATTGACTATTCAACAGAAACTCCTGACACGTTGAAGTTCGTGCTTTTTCGATCGCTTTCTAGTTGTCCTCCATAGTAGTTTCTTCTTCTTTGAGGCTTCGAACGTGTTGCCGAGATCCATTCGTAATTCGTTGAGTTTTCCAGTATGTCGAGGGAAGGTTGTATTGTTGAATGCACATAGATTCGCGAATCTCTTACCGTCTTCGTCTCTTTCTCCCAGTCCATGTCGTTCCATTATGTAACTATACTCGGTGTTGTCCATTTCGACTTTGGCGTTTAGGTCTCCTATCGGTATGCTCAGTTCCTTTCCTGAGTACTTCGCTATGACCGATTGCAGCCTCTCGTAAAACTGATCGTTATCTTTGTCGTTTCTATCATTGGTGGATGCACAACACTAGGTAACATGCATTGTGATTCCCTCCTTCTTTGTTTTGAGGGATGCCTTGGTGATTCTGGATCCATGAGATTCCCATCCTACAAATGCTTTACGTGCTTCTTTGGACAGCATCAGAGCAACTTCCTGAGTGTGCGGAGCACTTTATTTTTCATGACCTGTGTACAGCAGCATTTCTCTCAAATCTAACCTTTTCTGTCCAGCATTGATCTAATGGGACAATGTAGGGAGACCGGGAGGACCAGTCAAATAGCTACGGGAATGAGGAGTTGCAACATGGCGGTACCTATATTAGTTGTTCCCTTGGTTGTTAGAAGGGGCATTGGCTTTGTGACTTCCGAAGAATCTCGGCTTTCGCAACGAGACATCATAATTCTTCTGAATAAAGACCCTTCAACTTCCAGGACAGAGTTTAGATTGCTTAATTTGCTTATTTTGATTAGCGTTTTTTATTAAGGTTGTTTTCTACGGGATGGGATTGCTGACTTTATGCCCAAACCTCCTCTTCTTATTTATTTGTTTATTTAAACAGATAAACATTGGTACAAGGAGGCATCAAATAGGTTTGCGCTACATAAATCGCTCGATTTTTTGGGGGTTGGGATACTGTCCGGGTGCCCAGACCGAAACAGGTGGTTTTCTTAGTGGGCCACACCCGGAGCCTTTGACCTAAAGGCCTAATCCACAAGGCAGTGGAGTGACGTCAGGAGATGCAGTCGCATGGTAGCCGGTGACCAATAATTTGTTCATTCGCCATTTTTTCCTTCAGGATCCTAGAGCCCATATGCACCATTGGTTTGGAATCAGGGTTTTCCAACTCCGCTAGGTGGATCTTCCTTATCCACTAACCCAGTTAAAGCTCCGGGCATTCGCTTTTCACCCTCTCAATTTCGTAGACAACACCCCGTCCGCGGGAAGGCAGCGAGTAGGACTTCCCTGGCAGTGGCTGTGTACACGTGGTCATGTGAGAGCATTTCGTGAGGGAGAGCTGACTCTCCCCATTTTCGACCGTACCAGAGCATTTTGAGACTGTCTCCTCCTCTACCTGGGCTTGGGATCGGTAGTAACCTTAGAAGAGTCACTGGCGGAGTTTTGCTTTAAATGTATCCTTATAAATTAGTGTATTTCAACTTTGCTAGGATTTAAATATTCATTTAAGTTGAAATCAATACGGAAATCTTGTTTTTAATATTCAGTCATATTTAGTGGAAGATCTTTGATTTTTCGTGACCTATTACGCTCCGTCTTGTATGTTTCTGTTGGTTATATGAAATTTTCAGTAATCACTACGTTTGCCTCAATGTGTCGTGTTGCATTGTCAGAAAGTTTTGTGGTAAATGCAATTAATCATTATTTTGTTCTTCAACTCCGTTATTTTCATCTCATTGTTCTAATGAGGTATGGGAACTGGAATACATGCTGTGTTGATGAGTTCTGTTTGTCTATTAACATACACCCTTTGTATCAAATCACTTTAACTAATTGAAACGTTTATTATTTATGCAAATTAAAAAGTAAAATTGGTAAACTGATTAATTTTTTCGTTTCCAAACAATTACATGCACAGTATTTGCAAAAACCCTCAGTAAGTGAACGAAATACCGCTCTAAGAAAACCACGATTTTTACAAAAGATTGAAAAACCTATGCCACGTCCAATAACATCAGATTATATAACAATAAAAAGTGTAAGTTTAGTTTAAAGCACTTTTTTGTTGTTTTTTTCATTATTGCTAACTGAGGTAGTGGTCGATTGGAATAAAGGTAAGAGCGAGTATCAGTAATACAAAATCTTTCACTTTTGACGTAGGCCATGTAAAGATGCTGAGACCCTTTTGTTGAGATACACGCGATGTTCGTAATAAATGGTAAGGGAAACCAATATGACATACCCAAAAATTTCACATTTTCTGCCGAATCTTCAGTCCCTTTATTGTCTCATCCTCTTTATTGTGCGAATTAATTTCCTGTTTTCAAACCATATTCTTTATGTTTGATCAGTCTTACAATCATAGACATTTGTATTCCTTCAACCTCTGTTAAATATCTTGTCAATTTCATTTTATTATACTGAAACGAATTGTATCAACCTGAGTGTTGCTAAGTGATCATACTTTTTTTTCTGACAAAGTTAACTGCGTTCTACTTATCTTCCCGAAATGCTCAAGATATTGATTTCAACTCAACTTGTGATTGTAATATCCCTCATTCTAAAAACATATAATGCATGTTTCATTATCAAAGAACGGGTTGATTCCGATTGTAGATTCACCGCTCCTTGGGCTAAAATACTCATGAGCGAATATCCCAGCTTCATTGTCAAGGTTTTTGTTGGTCCAAATTAACAGGAAAGTAAAGTAGGAGTATGCTTCATGTACACTAACAAGGTGAATGTATGTAAGTGACCTGTGTCGATGTTCGTGGTCTACTTGAGTTGGATGGAAATAGTGTAGCCTCCTAGCTTACGTCAAAGTCATGCCTCGTGGTCGGTACCTAATCTAGCTTATCCAATCGGGATAACCAGGTGAGTTCCTTTCTTGGTGAATGTCTAGAGTAAGATCCTATTTTAACAGCGGCAGATTAGAGAAGTGTAAAGTGGGGTCACTGCTGCATGGGCTAGTCGCGCTAGTAGTCCTTGACCTCAACGATATTCAATAAACCGTTGGACGTTTAGTGATCTCTGATCTAATGTAGAAACTGTTCTACTTGTTGGATGCTTCAGCTAGAGGTCACTAACCTTACAAATAGCCCAGGCCTTGCCATCGTCGTTGTTTCGTTGATCAGCACGTAGTTTGTTCAATCTTCGGTTATTGTATTTGTTCATGACAGTTTTCTCGAGACTTATAGAATTGTTTTGTTGCTACCTAATCATTTCTTTTGTCGGATCAATTAAATTCGCACTGTTTAGGTATATACGATGTTCTTTAATCGGTCTTCGAATTCTACTTTTAATTAAAGGCATTTTTCCAAACTTTTATTATTAATAAGGTTTCATCTGATGAGCTCTGCAATTTTCGACATTTTTGATAGTTTTTCCTACTAATTTAAATATACACTCATTCATTCGTTTTTTCCTGATTTGTCTGTTTCAAGTAATAAAAGTTATACATCGTGATTTATCTAAAATAATGTATTCTATAAACCTATTATCCTACATATCGAATTGTGTAACATTATTCGCTACTTGACACTGTTGTTTATGGTTTAATGTTAGATTCGATAGTGAATTCTTCCAGTTGGAAATAGGAATGTTATTTTAACATTTCAAACGGTTCAGTAGGTAACCTGTCGAGAAAGTTTTTCAAATAAATCCTAATGTTTAATAATCAAACTACTTGCGGTAGCTGTACGTAATATATTCAAATACTAAGCATAAGTGATAACTGGAAACAAACTTAAATCGTATGCGATACCACCTTGTGATCAAAAGCTTTATTGATTTGTCCATCAGGCTGCAGAACATTGACTAAGTTGTCATAATGTTAAGACTGAAATATTATTTCGTTAGTAAACCGAATACACTCATTAAGATATTAAATAAGAAAGATTAGTTCTGCGAAGAGTTCTCTTTTCGGCGAATTCATTTTCAAAGCTGTACAATCGCAAATATATATACTTATTTTTACAGGATGATAATAATACTGATAATAAACTTCTGTTAGAAATGGTGATAGTGAGGTTAAATAAACAAATGTATTTTAAAAAAATTTTAAATAAGGAGAATTTAATAGTTGTTTGATGGCTTAAGTATTCATCAAAAGATAGATAGGGAAATTATCATTGGGAAAGGATGGCTCAGCATGACAAGATAAAGTGTTGAAATTCAGATTAAATGTAATCAGAATGATTGTGGAAACAAATAATTGAGACGGGGCACAAAATTAACATTAATGCAGCATTTAGAACGTTGTATAGAAAAATAAACTAGTTGGGAGTTGAAGATTTAAGGGGAAGATGGAAGATGAAGCACATGACTGTAAAGGAAGAAGAGTATGAAAAAGAGAAAAAAATCATAAGACATTAAGACCATGGTAGAAGAAGAGATTATACCAGTCTCTATTGCACACACAACTCTGACTTTTCCAGGGATATGGTTAATGCTTCGGAACTGCAAAGAAGATGTAGTCTAATTGTATTTGAAAGACTTCTACTTACCTTGTAGATGAGTTTAAACGTAGAGTCTGTCTTGATTGAATGACCTGTGTTCACAAGCTGTTCGAATATTGAACTTCTTATTGATAGGAAAATTCTGTACGTAACTCCAAATACGTAGTCTTGTAAGGAAAGCTATAAATTCTCTTCGGAATTGACTTCATACTAAGTTTATGTTATGATAATGGAGTAAATGCCGTTTTAAGTCTTTAAACCGCTGCTCTTCTGACCAAGATTCCGCGTTACTGTAGTTTGTGATGGCTCTTGAGTTACTAATTTAAGTGTACATTGTAGCGAATATTGATAATTATTAATAAATTTAAACATGTATAAATTAATTGCTTGTTGTTTTATTCATTAAATCAAATCGACAGTAACTGAGGATGCAAAATTCTTTTAAAACTAGCAATTATAGTTTCATTTTTCAAAGTCATAAATAGAGAAAGTTTCTACAAAACCAGTATAAGAAAAACTCTGCCTGTAGCTATTCTAAGGTTACTGCCAGTTCCAAGCCCAGGTAGCGGAGGAGGTTTGGGCATAAAGTCAGCAATCCCATCCCGTAGAAAACAACCTTAATAAAAAACGCTAATCAAAATAAGCAAATTAAGCAATCTAAACTCTGTCCTGGAAGTTGAAGGGTCTTTATTCAGAAGAATTATGATGTCTCGTTGCGAAAGCCGAGATTCTTCGGAAGTCACAAAGCCAATGCCCCTTCTAACAACCAAGGGAACAACTAATATAGGTACCGCCATGTTGCAACTCCTCATTCCCGTAGCTATTTGACTGGTCCTCCCGGTCTCCCACATTGTCCCATTAGATCAATGCTGGACAGAAAAGGTTAGATTTGAGAGAAATGCTGCTGTACACAGGTCATGAAAAATAAAGTGCTCCGCACACTCAGGAAGTTGCTCTGATGCTGTCCAAAGAAGCACGTAAAGCATTTGTAGGATGGGAATCTCATGGATCCAGAATCACCAAGGCATCCCTCAAAACAAAGAAGGAGGGAATCACAATGCATGTTACCTAGTGTTGTGCATCCACCAATGATAGAAACGACAAAGATAACGATCAGTTTTACGAGAGGCTGCAATCGGTCATAGCGAAGTACTCAGGAAAGGAACTGAGCATACCGATAGGAGACCTAAACGCCAAAGTCGAAATGGACAACACCGAGTATAGTTACATAATGGAACGACATGGACTGGGAGAAAGAGACGAAGACGGTAAGAGATTCGCGAATCTATGTGCATTCAACAATACAACCTTCCCTCGACATACTGGAAAACTCAACGAATTACGAATGGATCTCGGCAACACGTTCGAAGCCTCAAAGAAGAAGAAACTACTATGGAGGACAACTAGAAAGCGATCGAAAAAGCACGAACTTCAACGTGTCAGGAGTTTCTGTTGAATAGTCAATTAAGTGGAACTCGTCACTACACATCAACTTCCTTGACTATGACAAGGCGTTTGACAATATGGATAGGAGAACATCATAGAACTTTGTTCGACACTATGGTGTAACTGAGATCACCAACGTCATCCGGAATTCACAAGACGGCCCGCACTGTAAAGTCGTGCATGGAGGACAGCTGACACACGTATTCCGTGTGAGGACCAGAGTCAGACAAGGCTGTTTACTCTCTCCCTTCCTCTTTCTTCTGGTGGTCGACTGGATTATGAAGACCTCCACATCTGAGGGGAAACACGGAATACAATGGACAGCTCGGAATCAATTAGAAGATTTGGACTTCGCACACGACCTACCCCTTCTATCTCATACACACGAACAAATACAGATGAAGACAACTAGAATGGCTGCAGCCTCTGAATCAGTAGGTCTCAACATACACAAGAGAAGAAGCATGATCCTTAAATGAAACACGGAGAATGCCAACTCAATCACACTTGATGGGGAAGCTCTGGAAGAGGTGGAAACTTCACATACCTGGGAAGCTTCATCAGTGAACAAGGAGGATCCGATGAAGACGTAAAGGCAAGGATTGGCAAAGTAACGAACGCATCCCTATAATGGAAGAACATGTGGGACTCAAGACAACTGTCAGCCAATATCAAAATCAGAATCTTCAATACGAACGTCAAGACAGTCCAACTAAACGAAGCTGAAACTTGGAGAACTACTACAGCCATCATCAAAAAAGCACAAGTACTTATAGTCACTTGTCTACGCAAGTTAGTCAATGTCCGTTGGCTGGATACCATCAGCAACGACCTACTGTGGGAAGGAACAAACCAGCTTCCAGTTGAAGAGGAAATCAAGAAAACACACTGAAAGTGGATAGGTCATACATTGTAGAAGTCACCAAACTGGATCGCGAAGCAAGCGCTAACTTGGAATCATGAAGGGAAACGGAAAAGAGGAAGGCCAAAGAAAAGCTGCACGGAAAATTGGAAAGAGACGTGAAAAGGATGAATAGCAACTGGAAACAACTGAAAAGTATTGTCCTGGACAGAGTTCAATGAAGAATGTTGTTGGGCGACTTATATTCCTCCTTGAAGTGTAACAACGCAGGTAAAGTATGTATATAAAAATATGCGAAAAGTTAATATTTTAACGCTAATTCGCACAATGTCCCTTGACGCTTGTTCTTTTCTAGCGCAGAAGTTTAACTCTTTCACGAGATTCAATCATGTAAACTTTGATCTTTTGGATAATATGATGCAGTTGAGTCGCTGAATCTGTTTACAGAAGTCAAGTTTTAATGTAACTTTTCAAAATATTCAACATCTAGTGTTCCAAGTTTTTTAAGTTCAATTAACTTGTGATAAAACATGTGATTCTAATTTCAATTAACTGTAATTTTGAAAGAATCATTTTCGATATACATTGTAATTATCTTATTTTAAGACTAATCCAACTGTTTATTTGTTGAATTCAGGAAGAATCTGAAAGACAAGAAGTAGCTGTAATTATGTTGCAACAATTAATTCGCGGGCGTGCAATTCAGACTCAAATGTATGAGGGTAAACGAAAACGTAGTGAATTAATTGCTGAGTCAAGGTCAACGCATGCTCTGTTAGAAGATGAACAAGCTCAAAAAAAACGTGAAAAATTAACAATTTTAACAAAACAAGAAGATTTGGGTTATCTTTTGCATCAAGTAAATCATCTTATTTAAATTCATCATCGTTATATTGATGTGATTAGAATGCATTAATCCATCATTTCTACCATACCATTTCATTGCACAGTTGATTATCTAAAAACGCGCGTTCTACAGTGAATTGTTCTTTGAATGACCTTAAATCTTATTTCCGTACTTTTCTCGAATGGTAAACAACGACTCGGTGGACTCTAGTGCGAATGACACATAAGGTTGACATGTAATCACATTATCATATCTATCAGTTATAGATGCTTAATTGTATGATAGGGTAAATATGTGTTCACAAAGTAATTTACCGAATAATTCGTGTTAAACACCACTGAATGCAAACTATACAAATCTGACTGGATCAGTCACATATAATGTGATGTATTCATAAGTCATTTTGATCTTTTTTCTCGGTCAAATAAATCCATACCAGCAGTCTTTGTGTTTTCACTGCACATCACTAGATTTACGGTTTTCAGCACCAAGCACAAATCAGTTAACCATTCATTGGAACAAAAATGCTGAGGTTAGTGTTCCTTTAAATCTGCTTTTCAAGTGACTATTATGTGTTGTTCTACAAAAATCATAATATGTTTTCACTGATCCCACGCTTGACTCACGTTTCAAGAAAGGTGTTTAATTTATTTACAAAATATATCAGAAATATTCACTTTATATAGTTACCACATACAAAAAATGTTTTCTACAGTGTGACTGTTATGTACAACGAAATGACAATTTTATGATGAAGCGAATCGGAAAAAACCACTTAATCATCAAAAAAAGTAATATTAAAGCAGACAGCAAAAAAAGCCAGAATCAGTCTCGTCCCGTTTGTTGAGAATACAATGGGGACTTATAGCAATGTCGTCACTGTTTTCAATTTCTAGTCATGTCAGATGATTTTTAATACCGCAAAGTTTTACAATCCAAGGGGTTGTGACGTGCCCATTAGACGCTAAAAATCTCTCACAGTGATATTTCGAATGGTTCAGCTCTTCGTTATTTCTATTTAACCCCATCATCATAGGATGAAGCTTGTCATAAAAACCAATAAGACAACTTTTAAAGACATCAGTGAACTTCCCAATTCGACTTTTCAAGGTTTTATCTGTTATAAAATGATGGTTTACACTGTTTGAATACAAGATATCAGGTCTCATCATTACTCACATTTTGTAACCACTAAACCCATGTTATCCTTATTGATCAACAAGTTAACGAAAAGATTAAATTAGTCGTAATCTTTACTGTCTGTCTATCATGACTTAATTAAATTTAGGAATGCACAGCATCAAATGTCATCTCTGTGATCAACAGCTCGCTTCGACCTCGAAAGTCCCCCTGGGTTTGGTCATTAGCAGGGTAGTGAATATGCAATACCAAGAAATTCCTTACTAAATAGAAATGGCCGTCCAATGCTTCCTCATTTTTAGTAACTATTAGCTAACTTCACTTCACTAAGGGAACTATGTAAATTCATATTTAAAAATATCAATTAAAACCAACCGAATGTGAGTAATGACTAGATTTTTTATGTAATCAAGTGAATTTCTTACATAAGACGTTTTCGGCCATCTGTCTGAGTGTAACTTATTTATATTGATTTAAAACTGAGGTGTTATATATGACAAACTACTAACGATCAATACATATATTATTTACCTTTTATTAAAAGGAGCGTCTAGTAGAAGATATCTTAGGACAGTTTGAATGTGATAGTTTAGCTAATATGTTAGATTTTCTAAGTAAAGAATTGGATCGTCTAATCGAAGAGCGACGTATACATGCATTAGTACTAATAGCAGAACGTCAACGTCGTATACGAGAAGCGGAAGAATGTGGTACACGTCAAAAAGAAGAGCGCAGAAGGAGAGAACAAGATGAAATTTTCAAACAGGTAAACGATTTTAACTAGATTTTAAGTAACCCTGATTTTTGTTATTCATGATGTAGCCAGTTTATTTATCCACTTATTATAGGTAAAATCAACCTATTATGCAGACCATTGAATCGTTTAATACGGTTTATAGTTAGATGTTTTACCTCATTGATTCACATAGTATTATGACAATTTTAACTTCTTTGAATTCTGTCTAACCAGAACTGGAGAGAAGAACGTTGTTCTCATAAATTTGTGGCGTAGTGAAACATGGTTGACTAAAGATTGTACAGTTGAGCGATTTACACAAAACTATTTCTTTAACAGATAATACTGAATTTTTTTTAGATAAAAACCAAGTATTTATGAGCTCTGTAAACAGTTTAAAACATAAAAATATCTGGTAAAATGTGAATACTTTAAAGTTTCGTAAGTGCTATTTAACTTGTCATAGTATCAAATTCTCTGAAGCTATTTACAATAAATTCCGTTACATAATAACTGATATATGCAGCATCTAAATCTCTAACTAGAATCATCCAGAATCCTCCTCCTTCACAATAGGTAATAAGTATTTTATACTGTATATACGGTTTCTCTCAAAATATGTTCTCAAACTGTCGTCTGAACCATTTATTCTGTTTACAAATTCAAATTTATGTAACGGTAAAAAGCTAAAAAATGAAACACAGCTCTTTATCCTATTTGGCGTTTTTAATTAACTATTGTCCATGTCCCCATACTTCATATCAGTACATCCAAATAAGGTAAATAATAAGTTAACGAAGTAATGCAATGAAAAGGTAGTGGAAAATGAGAGAAAATGACTTATATTTTGAAAATAGTGAATGAAATTGAGTAGTGAGAACTGCGGAACAATACAAATGAAGATTTTGACCATGTAGATGAGTGGATAAATTTTCCACTTAATGTCTGCATTCATAGATTACGGCTACTTTGGGAACTGCAACCAGAAAACTGAATCTTCTCACACGGCTAAGTATAACGTTCGGAGACTGAATGATATTGATTTAGCCACTATTTTAGGTTATCTAGAACAAAACGACAAGTTAGATGAAAAAACGCTCGGTTTTTTCCTTTGCACAAATGGAAAGTTAATTTACCTACACTAGATACCGTCCTAGTGTATATTCTACAGGACATCAATACAACTCGGATCAAGAACATGTGATTGGAATGACTAGAAAATAAGTATATTACCACACCAACAACCGATAATAATAATAATAAAGGGTGGAAAAATATGTCACTCATCTAATATCAGTCAGATTATTTACTAATCTCACTAGGTAAACAACCAGACATGAGTTACATGTTCAAACTATCTTCAATGATAAAGGATCATAACTTCAGTTACCAATTTATCATTTCTACTTAGACTTATTGATTTACTTTAGTAATGCTGGGGAGACATATGGAACAGTAAGTTCATCCACTCTATAAAGTTTACTATTTGAGCCCTATCGATCGAGACAGGCAATCCCACCATTAAATTAAATGGTAAAACAAAACTGTACCTGGTTGTTATATATCTTAAGACATTGTTATATCCTAGCGAAGAATTAATTACGAGTAACTTATTCCTGTTGTATAACTATTCAGTAACTAGATTATGTATATCTATATTCCTCTGATTATAAGCTTCATTCATCATACGATTTACTATTCTTAAGTTATGTCCAGTTTATTGATTATTGAAGCTTATAATAAGAAGAATATAGATATACATAATCTAGTTACTGAATAGTTATCCAATAGGGATATATATAATATTAACCAATTAATAGTTCTCAGAATTTACCAGTAATTTATTCTTCGCTAGGATACAACACATATCATGAAGTTTACACTAATTTACCTTCCCTAGAAAATTTAAATACATTTCCGTAACAGTCATATTTTAAAGAACTTGTGTATTTTGTAACTGCACTTTAATCCACCAAGTTATCACTTTTCAGGTATTTTCAATACATCATTAGTTAACGTTTTTTTACTATTTAGCTTGTTAAGGTACACGAAGATACAGTTGATAGTTATCTGATAAATATTGCTGGCTTAGCTGTAAATAGTGCCGCTGATTACTTAGCTAAGGAAGAAATTTCGACATTAGCTCAAAAAATTGAACAAGCTAATCTCTATGAATTAAATCGTGGTGAATTAGAAACAAATGAATTAGCTGCTGAATTAATACATAATTTCTTAATACCGTTTGTAAGTTGTATGATATTAATTGTTTTGAAAAAAAATGTTTGTCTTTCTTTAAATGATAGTTTTTTTTGTTGGCTGGCATCAAATGGAAAATCACTAAAACCAGGAAGCATTGGCAGTGGTTCTCATTTTTTAGACCCGTCAACATTACCCAGTCATTACCCCCCCCCTCACATGAGATTGAACCCAAAACATTAGGATCTCTTAGCATACATAATGCCTTAAAACCACTCAGTCACTGGTTCACATATCAGACTCTATTCAGTCAACAATAAAGTTGAGATTGTAAACCGTTAAAGGTCGATTCAGGAATCTTATAGCAATAGGTTTGTTAGAAAATCTGAAGTTTTTAAGTTAAACTTCACAGCTGGTATTAGTTCACCGGTTGATGTCATTTCATAATGAAGATTATTTTTAGAAATTAATTAATCTCCATAAAACGCAGCTGAACAAAAATGTTTTTAGTGTAAAGATTTTGTGGAAACCTGTCTAATTTGTTGGTGATCTTCTTCAAAGATTGACGATAGTTGAATGTAATCATAAACTTAATATTTTTATACTTCAAGATGAGTTTTTGAACTTCTGGTGAAAAATCATAATCACTGAACTTTAGCTATTTCATAAATAAGACTGTCTTCACTATTGGCTATAGATGGATGACATAGTGTGATTCGAATTGCGTGAAATTGGAATTTAATGTTTATTTGATGATAAACTAATGGTCCGCTGGTTACGTACTCTCAAGGAACCCCGAAGATCTCAGGCCCTATCTCTGGTGTAGTCTGATCATCACTGATGAGGAATCTCATGCCAGAAAAGAACAATGCTCCTGTTTTGAATGTTATCTTCAACTGATTTTCTGTTTATACCTAAATAAATAATTACGAAAACAAGATTCTACTTAAGGTAGCTTGAAAAAGATGAATTCTTTATTCATGAACTGACATCAACTGAAGAGTTGTTAGAAATTAGTCTGTATTGAGAACTATCTAATATTATTGATCTCAGCACTCTGTCTCACAAAGGAGGCCTACAGCATCACTTACTTACTCACTCCTGTTGCCTTTCGTGAAGCAGCATAGGTCGCCCATCAGCGTTTTCCATCCAACTCTGTCCTGGGCAATCACGGGGACCATTTGATGTTTTTACTTCACATGATTGAGAATCAGTGTCAGCGCTCTAATTTCCGTAAATTTGTAACATATAGCAAAAAACTTCATACTAGAATCGATGGAAATTCGTCTCCACACTTAATTTTGTTGACTCTACAAGTTAATTTTTATTATCACTTTCAGAATAAGTACATAAGATTCTCTAGTTGTCAATACCAAGGTTGAACTTGATAGTCTAAAGTAAATTGAGCATTAGGTAGAAAGTTATTAAGGATAAAATAATTATACTAAAAACGCAAAGAGATCTCTTTTTAGCGAATTTATTAACAAGCTGTACAATCGTTTATCTGTATGAAGTTTTTTGTTAAAGTGTTATGTCCCGATAAGCATAATGAATGGTAACTTTCGCGATCCATTTATGGATCAATACTATGCGTATATTTTTATCGTATAATTGTTAAATAACTAAACTGTTCATATTCATTTCCCTCTTATTATAAGCTTTATTTTAACCTACGAACTATTATTATACGATTTACCATTCTTGAATTATGCCCTGGCCATTAATTACTACCTCCCACATTCACAGCCACATTTGGCCAAATCTTGTATAAATGTTGTTTCCTATTTTATTGGTACGATGTGGTCTGTCTGGTTGCTAAATAAACCGAGTATGTTTGAAATAAATGATTCATATTGCAGAGGCTGAGATTGGTGTTCTGGACTTAACTGGGTGGGCTAGGCAGGAAGCAGGACCGATAAGTACTCTAGACCGCTCGTACGTGTTTTATGCGCATGCGTCACTGGTCCGATCGATAATTCACTGCTCCATAATTGGCGGTCAGTGGTATAACACAAAGTATTATTTCCGTGAGAGCAAATGAACAATGAATAAACATGATGATGTAATAAATAGATTGCGTAATATGAATAATAACAATTACCGATTGTGTGTACAAATAGGAAAACCTTGTAAAATTCATAAGTTAGCAACGGATGATAATGTGGATGATGTAAGTTGATTAAAATATCCAGTTCTTCCAGGCTTTCAATGATGTTGTAGCTTAAATCGTTCTGCCTTTTTGTGCGAAATGTAGAGCTCCCTATTCTTCTTTGGAAACATTTAATGGGAAGCATTTGTGTTTTGGCAAAATTCGAGATTATTTTTAACGTAATGTGTGTGACTAATTTTCTGGTATCTTTTCGAATACCAGTTCAGGAATTGGAGCAATTTCTAGAGTATTGAGAGATTTTCTATGTAAATCAAAATGTGATCCTGTTTCTAGTAGACCTATTTCACGAGTACTAATAGGTCTATTTGAAAGATTACGAACCACCCTCAGATCATGAGAAGTAGATTTCTTCAGTAATTTTGACTGAATTAGATATTCTAATTTGTTTTCTCTATACTACTTAGACTTGTGTTAATTGATTTACATTATTTATCCATTTACTCTGAATCAGTGAATTAGATTAAGTCACGGAACGTCAGAAATGCAAATTTCTACTAATTGGGATATCACAAAAATATAATTATTTTATCATTATAAAAGTTTCTGTTTTGACAATATAACATGAACGAAAGAATCGATCATTACTAAGCTGTATAAAATAGAAATCGATAGATTTAACTATTACTGAAATCATAAACTGATCTCATTTGGTCAATCGATGTAAATTTAAAATCATGGAACGGCCGTTTCGTCATAGTATTGAACTCAGCAGTGCACGTCTACGACTTCGCACGTGGGAGTCGAACGCAAGACCTTCAGTCTCGCGCGCGAACACTTAACTTCTAAACCACCGAGCAAAAATTCAGTGGTGTATCGGTCTAACTTCAATCAAGCCACGGTATTGCACGACTATCCAATGCTTTCAGGTTTTCAATCCTTGTCTAACTTAGGTCTGTCTGTAATTTCAATGATACTCAATAACCTTCATAAAACCGTGCTGAAGATTTATCTTTGTACGTCGTATAAATCAATATATGAATTATATGTTTTCAGTAATTTTTGGCTATATTGTGCAAAATGAACACTTACTCATCCGACATTGTTGTTTATTCGTGACATGTCGATTTCTCTCTATTACACATGGATAATCGTTTGAAGACTTTTAATAAAAAATAATTTAGACCCCTAATAAACAATCACGAACTATCTCGAATTTACATATATCTGTTATTGTCATGAGAATTTATTACCGGACGAATTAAACTCTACAACCTAGCTTGTTGGACAGAAATTATTGAAGTTGAAGTGTAGTTCACTGCAAGTGTCCTATCGATAAATATTTCTTCCCAACCTACCATTTGTATCTCGTTTCATTCCAAGGTCTACAAACTGAAGCATCTTGTCATGTTCATGTTCCACTGTAAATCGGGTAATTGCGTGTGGCGTATCGATAGGTTTCAGTATTTGAGAAGCATGTTGATAATCATCACAGGCCACAAATGCACATTCAATTTACCTGACGTACAATGTTTTGTCATTGATTACTGATTTCGTTGCCGTCTTTCATAGGTTTTCCGTACCTCAGTGGGCTACCCATAACAACTCTATTAATACGAGAATATCAGACATTATTGAATTAAAAGTGGTTATCTTTGGTAAATATTTATAGATGCTACCTAAATTCATCTTCTGTTAGGAGGTTAAGTCAGAGTATTGACATGTTATTTGCATGGGTTATTCTATCGAGATGCTAGTAAATAACAGTGATAAATAAAATAAAGCCATGAATTTATCGAAGATTTCAATATTTTCTAGTCATTGAATAAATTATAAAGTGTCTATCAAGCTTTGAACAGATAAATTTAAACGAATCAGTCCTAAATAATGGGCTAATCAGTGGGTGAGATTGTGAAATGGATTGATAATAGTGGTCAGAAAAAAAATTAGGTTTATGTATTTTTGGTATGGATTTTGTGAGTGTATCTTGGGATATGGAATTAAAGTAAAAACAAAAGTATTCTCTCAATTCTATTCAAGTTAAAACTTCATAAGTTGCAGATAAATTTCCCAGGAATGTCTACACGTAGTTGGTTTTGAAAAAGGACTTTTGATAATATCTTTTCACGCAACCTCTCGGAGGAAATAGTAAAATTCACCGCACAATATTGACTTCTTCAACGACTTCATTTGGATCAGAAGCTCTGGTTCTTAGTTTACATACTAGGTCTGTTGCAGCTTCAACATAAGATTTTTCATTGGTGGAGGTAATGTTCATCAGCTCAAAGTTCTCATTTTCTAACACTGACATCTGGTATAGTTTTTCCTTATTTACTGCTCTTTTCATTATTCTTTTATATAGTACCTACAATGATTTTTAATGTATAATTCTATTGTGTTTAGGCTATAAGCAGCTGATAAAAAAACTGTGAACTATTATTAATTTATGTCATTCTGTTACGTTAGTTATCCTTCCTTTAATGAGATTCGGAAAAATGTATCGATAATTATTTATAAATGTTTCTAGGTAAACAAAAGTTCACATGAGTTACATGAGGAACGACGGAAACGCAAATATTTAAATGGTGCACATCGTGAAATATGGGGTCCATCACACGATGCTTCTGGAAATGTATCCGACTCAACTGGTCTACAATTAAAACATCATGATACAACAACCTCGACACCAAATGTCTGGTGGTGAAATAAGCAGAACAGTCAGTTATGCCAAATGCAAATACCATGGATAGAAAAATAAAGGAAATTAAACACACCGACTAATAACCTGGAAGTACGCTACAATGACAACAATAGTGATGATAATAATAATGTACGACAATTTTACAGTTTTATTTAATCCTTAACGATTATTGTTTTCACTTAATTCTTTGGTCATAAGGAGAAATTTACCAAGCATTCAATTAATAAAACGTATATTTTCGTTCATGTAGCCATATATGATACACTCACCCTGTCAATATTATCTAAACTAGGAATATTTTCTTAAATTTAATGTGACTTTTGAGTCTATATTTATTACTTTTGGGCATTTTTAGTTCTTAGTAGTCAGACATCACGATAATTTCGAGAAATATTTTCATTTTGACAGATTTTTTGTAAAATTTAATAAAACGAACGTAGACAAATTATCTAATCGAATTGTTAAGATAAGCAGATTGCGTAATAATACAATTGTTAATTGAGAAGTTTTTCAAAAACACAAGAGTAACCAAATAAAAGCCTCTGGTAAATTAAGAGGCTGTGCAAACATTTCGATACACAAAGACTAAGGTTATTATTGTATACACCTATGGTTTCTACTGTATGTAAAAGACACATTATGGGAGCATAGGGTCAGTTTAACGGACTTCTATAAATAAGTGTGGCAACTAAACTTACCGACTTTGACTTAATATCCCAAAACAGAGTTTCTTACTTTTTTCTCCTTCTCCCTTGATCAAGCAAGAGTCACCTCTAGAAATATGATAATATATTTACTTGATTGTACATAAAATACAACTTCCTCCACAAGAGCAGTTGGATCGTTAAATAGATGTTATTCCTACCACCTACATTTACAGCCACATTTGGCCAAATCTTGTATAAATGTTGTTTCCTATTTTATTGGTACGATGTGGTCTGTCTGGTTGCTAAATAAACCGAGTATGTTTGAAATAAATGATTCATATTGCAGAGGCTGAGATTGGTGTTCTGGACTTAACTGGGTGGGCTAGGCAGGAAGCAGGACCGATAAGTACTCTAGACCGCTCGTACGTGTTTTATGCGCATGCGTCACTGGTCCGATCGATAATTCACTGCTCTTTAATTGGCGATATCGTTACGTTATATATTAACAGGGCACACAGGCTACAATTTATAAGAGAAATCCTTTTATTATTTTATCACAGATTTGTTCACTGAATTGACGGTCTGTTGTAGAAAAGCGAGATGAACAAATTTACGTAAGGGATATTGAGTAACAACACTATAAACCAATTATTACAACAGGATTGTATCATTATAAATATCAAGAGACGAATCATACAAGTAATCGGTATTTATTACAGCATTTCATACTAGCTTTCATCAAATTCCATACTATTTAATCTCACGTCGTACTATCCGAAACATTAATAGACGCTTCTGACGTAGTGTTGGTTTCCTATGGTAGTCGTTAACCAATGTACAATCATTCAAGAAATATATGCTTTCAAGTCCTTGAAAATCATGAACATCATTATTTCGACTTAGTTACATCCTCAAATATCTGTTTTTACAGCAGTAATAATTTCTAAGTAACGGTTTTATAATGTTAAAGACTTCATCTTTAATTTACTAGTACAATAGTCATTCATAGTGTTAGTAAACTTCTTGCCTACTCAAGGCAAATATATAGACAATTTTAAGTATTCTTACTTACGCCTGTTACTCCCAATGGAGCGTAGGCTACCGACTAGCAGTCTCCAACCCACTCTGTCCTGGGCCTTTATTTAATGCATAATGTAAAGACAATTAAGACACAATTGTAAGTTTCTAATATGTATACAAAAAAGAAACGTAGAAAAATGCAAACACTATTTTAAGAAGGTAAAAAACGACAATGATAACAATAGCTATATAAAAAAGTAAAGACCCAATTGATCAAACTCTTTCAACCATGCCTGTCTATTTGTTTCCTTTCATAGTTGATCTGTGATTATTATTATTATTATTATTATTTTATTAATATTATAAGCAGAAGAAAAACAAAACATGAA